ACTACTCCAGCTGACATCAGATATAGACATACGAAACGGACTTCGCACGGAGGTCAGTGGGAGGTACAGTCAGGGACCTGGCACTAGCAATGTTGACTGGGCATGGCCGATAGGCCAAAAAACTTCTCTCTCTCTCTCTCTCTCTCTCTCTCTCTCTTTTCTCTCTCTCGCTCGCTCTCTCGCTCTCAAGGTGGGTGTAAACGCCAGGCGTAGATTGTCGAGCTGGCGCAACATCGCGAAGCCCGTTACCCCAAGCCACGGTCTGTCGTACACCTTCCTTGTTTTAGTAGTTGTCTTTCTTGAAATGTTAACATGCGAAAAAGTTTAAGGGTGCACTTCGAGAGCAACTATCATCTTGGCCCAAAATATTGGAATAAATGACGCGTCTGCGTCAAGCCTACAAAGGTCATCCTCTCACATTTAACATTGGATGGTATCCCCAAAAAGGTAGACAGCACGTTGAAGGCGTCCAGCACAAGATGATAGCGGTACACCGGGACGTGGCGAGCGTGCCAAGCGGAGCTGATTTGAACGCCGTTCAAAATCGTCTCATCTCCAAATATCTGCAATCAAGAGATATAAACATTATTCAACGAATGCGAAGTGATATGCGTTGGTATGTGAATTCCAGCCAGCTTCGTTTGAATGTTTAATTTAATTTATCGGTCAGCAAGTCCAAACAAATGTGAGATCGTCTTTCAAGGAGCACTAGTACATTTCCACACCACACTGTTAGAAATTAGCTCCGAAATTTTATGGAGAAAAACTTTATAATAGCGTTCATGGTGACTCCGTTCAGTTTCCATTTTTTTCAGAGAGATTTTCTCAGGGCTTAGACTAATGTTCTTCGGAGCGTGACTGGGGTCCTGATGGGAGGTAAAATGCATGTATTTTCTCAGATACACTGTAAAAAATATGTTGTGAATTTACGACGGGATATTTTCCGAAGGGTTTTTGGGAATGTCCAAAAGTGCACTGTAAATGTTTCTTTCCTACAGGAACTTTTGTAAATCAACGTAGGTTCGTCGTTAATTTACGAAGGTTCTTTGTAAATTTACAAAGAAAAATCGTAAATTTACAAAATCTGTCGTAAATTTACGAAGGGCTTCGTAAATTTACGACGGGCTTCGTTAATCTACGACGGGTCTTCGTAAATCTACGGCGGACCTTCGTAAATAAACGAAGGAAGTGTTGGCAATTTTTTTGCCGAAGGATCCGTCGTTAATTCCAGACGTATAATTACGAAGAATCTCTGTATATTAACGAAGTTTCTTTGTTTATAAACGAAGGTTTCCTGTAAATTTACGAAGGATCTTTGTAGATTTACGAAGGTGCTTCGTAAATTTCCATTGTGATTGGGAAATCAGCAGAGATCTTTCAAAAAAATAACGAAGGATTTTGTAAATATACGAAGAGCTTCGTAAATTAACGAAGGAACCGTTGGCAATTTTTTTGCCGAAGGATCCGTCGTTTATTCCGGGTATTAATTTTTACAGTGTATGTTAAACAGCGGGCATCCCGGAAGCATTCTTAAGTCTGAAATGGCCAAAGAAGGGACAATCTCCTTCGAGCTCATTTGACTTATATCCTCTAGATTTCCCTTAGTATTATGAAAACTGACCTAAACAAGTGGGGGGTCACCTTGCCCTCATTTTGCAACTGGTTGCAAACCTTTTATCGTGATTTCCTGATAGTGAAGCATGCATTTTTGTTCAAAATCCCGAAAATTTTCGGAGAAAGCCAAGAGTTTGCTTTTATGGAGAGCTCCATACAGAAATTTCAGAAAAACTCCATGACTTTTCCATATTATTTTTTTTCGGAATTTTCTGACAGTGTAGTAGGAAAAGAGTGTACGTACGTCTACGACTTGGGGCAACGTCTCGTGGTCCACCGGCCGGCCCTGCAGGTACACGTCCCTGATTTGCTGCCCTGCCCGGCGTCGCCCCGCGTCGTCGAGGAGTTGCTTCAACGGACCGGGCACCAGGCGCCTGGCGTCCTGCACTGTAAAAAATTTGTTCGTAAATTTACAAACAATTTATGGGTAATTTCGTTGCACAAATTATCTGTAAATTTACAATGTCTTTTTGTTTCTTAACGATTTATGAATTATTCTTCACGCAGTAATTTGTAAAATTACGAACTTTTTACACGCTCCAAATTACGTGGACCGCTTTTGTTCTACCTTGTCACGCTGATTAAATGGAGATTAACTTATTTTAGCGTTTGTGTTTTGTCTTATGAAACATCTTGTAAAATGATGAAGGCATCACCATATCTTGTAATCTTACAAGCGATTTGTGCAACGGAATTACCCAAGCATTTGTTGTAATTCTAGGAAACTTTTCATGTTTTTGTGACATTGTTGTAGTATTTTAGTCACGTTTGAGATGTATTTCGTTCGTACCATTTCATAAGGCGGTGTTTACGAACAAATTTCATAAAATTAAGAAGATTTCTGTGATGAATAATTCATAAAACGGCCTCTACGAATAAATTTCATAAAATAACGAAATGTTACTGTTACTTTACAGGGAATTTGTAAATTTTTTTTTTCGTAAATTCACAATAATTTTTTACAGTGCATGCTGCAGCGCGTCCAGGTCTGAATTGCTGTTCACTGCCGGCCAGCGTTACATGATTTGTGAATTGTGTCTCTGGAATACCTGCGCACCTTCAAGGTGGCACTCTCCATTCAAAGAATGAAGTCGCTAACTTGGTACATGTTATTTCCTAAGTTTCATGGAGTAAGTAGCGATTAAAAAGGCCGGTGTCATTACTGTAGATAAGGGGGGGGCGATATTTTTGCCGTTAATTTATTGCCAGAACTTGCCGTTCTCACTTTTGTAAATATTGTTAGAATCAGAATGTGAGAAACATGTCTGCAATCCTGATCAAAAGTCGCTCACCTCTGACAGCTGACATTCTGAATTCCTCTTGTTACGTAAGTTCTACAGAATGGCAGACTTGCAACTTTCAGAAGTGCGCGAATTTTGGTCAGGTCTTCAGACTGGTTTCTGATATTAAGACAGAATTTACACACACTACAAACATATCTGTCCGCTTGTACACACTTACTAAGAAGCTGGAAGAGTGTTACTGTTTATAACTTAAACGCTTACAACAACGTTATGATGCCCTTACGTGGTGAGTTGTGGATCCCTGTTCAAATTATCGCATCTGTGGTGGCAATAACAAAATTTCGCGCTAACGTAATAATTTTAAATGCACCGAATTTCTTACGGTTTGGCCCAATTCTCACATATTTTGGTGTGATAATTTTATAATGCATGGGCGTGGGAAGCCATCGCAATTCATGTGCAATGCAAAAGCATTGCAGCAATTGACGCTACACTCATACCGTCAGTGTCCCCCCTAATATGTCAAAATGTTAAACGTACGTGCAAAGTACAGGGTGCCCTCGCGAAAGTTGCTGCCGATGATCATGGGGACTTTGTTGTAGCGGCCGTCAACGAGGAGGTCATTGGGGTCCTCTGAGAAGAACGCTGGTTCCCCACTGTTGGCTGGCTCGACAACTGCTCGGCAGGGGAGGGTTGGCACCAACTGCTTCGCTTCCTACGACAGTTAATTTCATGCCTTTACTAAGACAAATCAGTGCTTTTCATGACATTTGCCCGCAAGGTTCGCGGTTTCTTTTGTTGCCCGTCGCTGCTCCGCTAACACTGTAATTCAAAGGGTGAGACCTCACCAATTTTCGGCGATAAAAAAAGTATCACCGAAAAAAAGGTCGTACACGAATGTATCACCGAAAAAAAGGTCGTACACAAATGTATCACCAAAAAAAAGGTGAGACATCAGCGAGGTTAGCCGTTGTTTTCCTGGGGAAGTATCACCCTTTTTTCAGTGATGCATTTGATCCAGGAAGCGGAAGAAGGGAATAACTCCATTTTGACCATTTTTCAGGAGCAACAAAAAACTGTTAGCAGGGAAATCTAAAACTGAACAATGGAATGTTATAGATGATAACAAGTTCAAAAAATGTAAGTTAAATTTTGAGATTAACTTCAGGAGTGTCAGGTCACTGCCTATAGGATATCTGTGACTTATCACTTTCCGCTAAAATGTAAAAGAGAGTCATCTCAACTTATATTTCTTAAACGAAGTGGAATTAGGAGACATGTCAAGTGGAACTATAGTCAGCAGAGAGTGTTGGTTCCACTAGTGCATTTTTTGGACTTAGCTCTTTTTTCCGTATAAGTTCTTAAAATTAAAGGGGGGTAAGTTGACTTGATTCTTTTTACAATGGATACATAAAAACACAAGTTGAGTCATCTCCTATCAACAATATGTTGAACGGAGTCATGTTGACTTTGGTTGAGATGTATCCATTTTCCGCTAAATTGAGAGTGTAAAAGGGGTCAAGTTGAATTACATCTTTTTTCGAAGTGGATTTTCTCTTGAACTGCTAGGAATTGAGTCAAATAATTTGGTGCAATGATGCAAACCATTCTAACGAACAACGACATAATAAAAACTCAATTTGGAGATAAGTCTAATTATTCCCTTCTTCCGCTTTCTGGATCATTTGTGCCCAGATAAGATCTTTTGAATAGGACCCCTCGAAGTGTGTACTTGTCCTAGACTGGGATCGGCAGTGGGTGATGCCGCTGGCTCTGTATACACTGTTGTTCAACGAATGTGACATCACATTCAAACGAACACGTGACAAAATTCACATTCTAACGAATGTGATGTCACATTCTTTGATTAACAGTGTAAGTCTGTCTATCGTCGCCCCTATGAATGGAAAGAGCTGGGAACCACCGAATAGGTCCTCGTCCAGGGATCCTTAACTTACCTCATAAGGGCATCATAACGTTATCATAAGAGTTAAAGTTATTACCCTTAACTTCTAACATCTTTTCAAAAGGGTGAGTTATTTTTTTATGTATCGAATTTGCGTAGACTTTTGCAAGTACTTTCATAAGTCCGACCCCCAACCTATAGCGAACATTGTCTTATGTTACGTTATGACAGCAGTGTTAGTTAAATGTTGAGTTAAGTTCCTCGTCAGACGCCACACCACGGCACACGACACGCTTTGCCGTCGGGCATGATTGCTTAACTTCATCGGTGGCTACTTCCAAGAAGGTGGCAGCCAGCACTAGTCCCGGAATAGTCCTCAAAAAGTTGACCATGTCAGATGGACTTCCACTGGTGGGGCCGCCATACATCTTGGTGGTTCGTCGCACGAGGTCGTACGGCAGGCCTTGGTACGCTCCCGACTGGCTCGTACTACTAGACATTATGGCACCACTGAAGAGACCTGGCAAAAAATAATAAATGTTGCAACAACTTGAACAGTTTTCCTGTATTTTTGAGAAATTGAGTCACTGTGGGCAGTTCTCTTATGCGATTTTTCATGCCCAGAGTTTACATAAATTGACGCCTACGGAGTTAACATTTTGAAGCAAATAACCGGGTTTACAGCCGTATGAGCTGAAACAGTAGAACGCGCATTCACAGCTGACTCAAGGACCACCAAAGCATTGTTTTTATCCATATTTCGAAAGTTTGACGCACAGTAGATCCGTGGCAAATCGGGTACGGAATTAACATACACAATAAATACGAGGCCCCCTTTTCAAAATTTGGGTACCAATATGATGTTATCCATTAGACACACATCCCTTAAACTTGGTATCTAGAAGTGTTTTTCCATCCGGAATCCATTGCTGCCCTCATATTGAGGCTGGGACTTCCCGTTTGTCTCCTTGAGTGCTATACTCGTTACAGTGTACACGTGGATTATTGGGAAGTAAAAACGTCGGGACAAAAGGTAATTCTGTGCAGGCACAAAGCTTTAAACTGTTTATGAAAGTCAGCGAGATTCAGTTTGAGAATGAGAGTACCTTAGCAAATAGAACCCTCGAGAACGATTGTCCTGTGTCTCGTTGAGACATACGAGAGGCGCGAAATTTGTGAACTATGCATCGGGACGATTTAATTCGAGGCGTTTTACCAGCGGACAGAGGCGACAGGATGTGGTAGTGAACAGCCGCTCCACCCGCGGACTCGCCGTATATGGTGACTCTTGAAGGGTCTCCGTCAAAACTGCGTATGTTTTTCTTCACCCATCGCAGTGCCTGCACCTGGTCCTTCAGACCTGCGTTGCCCGGAGCGTCGGAGGTGTTGCTGCTGAGGAAGCCTAAAAAAAAAAGACCTGAGGAAGGGAGCGTGGTGGTACATACTGACGCCTATTTTCGGCGCGAATCCCAGGAAATTTAAGGTGCAGCGAACAGTTTCAGCCTTAAAGTTTCTTTGAATCTTTTACTTTCCGAAGGCCTGCACCACAAATCCAAGTGTGAGACAGTCTCACACTCTCACAGGTGCGAACAACTATGTCTCATGCTTACAAGTGTGAGCCTTGTTTTTCCCACACTTTTAAGTGTGACAAACCGATCGTCCCACACTTGCAAGTGTAGGGTCAGGGCGGGGAAGAACTGGACACCCCACATTTTACCTCAAATACCGTATAAAGGCTTAACAACTTTCATGTAATGAACCGCTGATGCCACGGAACAACTTTTGATAGTTGTTATGACTGTGCATACAGTATTTGAAGTTAAATATGGGGTGTCCAGTTCTTCCTCTGTCCAGTTCTTCCCCGCCCTGACCGGGCGGTACAGTATATTACCGCCCATTGGGCGCCGTTTAGACATTGCGTAAAAGGAGGTACAAAATATTACCGCCAGTAACGTTCCCTCAGAGTGCCAAGAAAAAGGCGGTAAAGCTCTCGAAAGGAGGTACAAATGGTTCTGTTAGGGCGGTAATTTCTGTACCGCCTTCGTATTGGCGGTAAAACGTGGGCACCGCCAATACCAAATTACCGCCAGGAAAGGGTGGCAATATTACCGCCTTTAGATTTGGAGTGTATTCTTGAAATGCTCCTCCGTGAAATTAAAATGAAATATTGACAAATCGATAACAATGAGAAAGCCCGTACCAGGCAAAGTTGAAGGGCTCTAAAATAAAAGATAAATTAGGTTTTGAGCCACTTCGGGGGTATCAAACTTTAGCCTTCATTAGATGGCACATCTTTCTTCAAACACCAAAGTTTTCTCTGCAGCTCAACTAGGATGAACACCAACTACCTATGTGCAACGGGATATCTCAGGGGTGCGACGGAATCTATGATAATTTGCAAGTGTTGTAACTGCGCCACCCTTCCTTACACTGCCATCATTCTGGGTATGCAGAAACCATAGAAATCACACATTGTGCCCGAAAATAGCTTACTCTCTGTAAAAGATTGCAGAGAAAAGTTTCGCAGTGTGAAGTCTTTTCCGGCTTCTATTACGAGCACCCGCGATCTTTTTTGTTCGCATTATGAAGAAAATACAGTACCGGTAGTAAACCGGAGTAACTTCAGACAATATTTCACGTTTTTTTGACCGCATGTCTACAAAACTTCTTTCACCAACCCGAATCCTAACTATGTTTATTTTCACATGACTTCAATTGGTTTGGCACCCATGAATTTTTTTTTTTGGGGTCACCTAAAATGAGAGTCATGGGCCTCTAAAGTTGTCTCAAGTTACCCCGCTGTTTGGGGTAACTTGAGACACACCTACACTGATGGACAAAATTGAAGCACCACTTTTTGTTTTCCGAGCCAAATCTGAATGTGCCGGCCGATTTCCGTGAAACTTCGCTCAGTGGTGGTCGAAAGGGTTGTCCACAGGTACGCCAAACGGTGGGACCGCGGGTCGCAGGGGGTGGCGTCAAAAGGGCCTAAAGTGCCGCGGGGCAGAAACGGCCGCTGGGTTAAAAAAATGGATCGCGTATAACACACTTTCGTTGAGGGTATGGGGTCCTGCACCTCAGGATGCGTTCAGAGGGACGTCCTCAAAGCATCCTCGTGAAAAAAAAATCCACCACCGAAAGCTTCATCCCCTTAAAATCCACCCCTAGACGTAAGGACCGTTACTTAGGCCCCAGTGTGTGCCCCCACTGCCGAGGATGGGCTTTCGTGGCGTCAGGTACTCCGTCCGTATGGTGTCCCCACACTGCGAGAAAAGATCACGGTAAATCCTGTACTGATTACTCCAGACTTCACCGTACTTTTTTTAACAGGCAATACCGTGGTTTTTTTTACAGGCAATACCGTACTTATTTTACAGGCAACGCCGTACTTTTTTTACAGGGAATCCCGTATCTTTTTACCCGGCAATCCCGTACTTTTAATACCTATCAAAGACTGCTATAATTTTTTTCAGTCGGTCGACCCTTGTTTTTCAAGATCCTGATGTACGTAACTGCTGAAGTCGGACTCCTGGACCCCCCTTCCGACCACTCGTTGAAAAGGTCTTGACGAGACCTATCGAAAGGTGCAATAAAATTTTTCAGTCGGTCGACCCCCTATTTCCAAGATCCTGATGTGGACAATTCTTGGGAGCGGCCTTTGTTGGGACCAGATCTAGTCCTTCCTACGGCATGGACTGTACGAAAGAACGGTAATTTCTGTTAAAAAACTACGGAATATTTTGTACAACACTGTTAAAAAAAATATGAAAATTCAGACTGATTTCGTCTTACTTGGTGGTCTGAATCGTAAATTCATAAAATGGTACGAATATTAAGACCAACTGTCTGAAAAATGTGACCTGATGTCTGAAATTTGAATTTAGACTAGCAAGTCTGAATATTTAGAGCGATGGCTATCAAGTTTTGTACATTGTCGTCCGAAAACTAAATTCATACTTGTGAAATCGGAAAACGAGTGAAAAAAAACCCGTCCCCTTTGTACATTTTTCGATTTTCTCAGAACTTTTATCAATACTACTGTTGTATTTCAAATAATATTTACGTTTGGTGCCGTAAAAGCATAGAGAATGTTTCAGAGCTCCGAAATGGACACTTATTGCTCTATCCGCTAGGTGGCGCTAGTGTCGCATGGCGACACTAGCGCCACCTAGCGGATAGAGCGAAATCGCGAATATTTTGTTGCAAACTTATTCCAAGTGATTGTCTGAAAGGGCATGAGCGCACCAAAGCAAGATTCAGGTTAATAAGTGCAGTATAAGCTAAATAACAAAGAATACAATTTCACTCTCGCGCATGGCCACGGGTCGGTGAGTGGTTGGGCTAAGGCCGCTCTCTCTTGCAATAGCAGTCACCTCTACCCTCTTCACTACCTTTGCGAGAAGGAGCCTGTTGCCGTGCACTTAATTTTTGAGCCGGGGCGATCCGCTGAGCGTCTGCGATAAACCGATGGCAAAAGTTCGCCGATTTGAGCTCTACTCTAAAGAGTGGCATTGTTTAGTGCGACTGTTCATATTCTTCGTACAACTTAGTCTGATAAAATAGACTGACTGGTATCATTTTTCATACAACATGTTGATCTGAAAATTCAGACTAGAGTCGTCTGAAACTTTCAGACCGCGATGTAAGAAAGTTTTGGTATGGAATTTCAGACTGAATGTAAGTAAATCGACTTCTTACAAAAAATTATGAATTTTCAGTAATTTTTTTTAACAGTGAAGTACGGTAAATACTGTAGACTGTACGGTGGATACTGGTTTTTGAAGTACGGTAAAGTTTGGCAAAAAAATTATCCAGGATTTACCGTCATTTTTTCTCAGAGTGCAAGCACCCTCACGAGAGGGCGAGCGATTTGGAACAACCTCCACCCCTCTACGGGGGTGGGGGTAGTTAGGCCCTTCTGGGTTTTGGTTCAAAGGGGTGGAAAAAACAGCAGCAAATGTTGAGAAATGGTTGATGGGGCACAGTCAACCCCAGACTAATGCCCAAACCTGAGTTGAACATCGCGCACGCAGCAGCACCGTCAAAAACCACCCCCCCGCCCCCTGTGTGCACTTAGGCCCCACCGACGTGGTCCTGGCGTGCGGCTTTGATGCAGCACGGCAGGGGAGGTCTGCAGGCATCACATTGAGTCCGTCCCGCAGCATCGCAGCCCTCGGGAACGCCTCTGGGGCCCCAAAATGATGAGGGGTTGAAAAATCAACCCCCAAGTTCGGAGGGGTGCACAGGGTGAACCCGTGGGCGGAAAATTTTGACTCAGGGTGGCAAAGTGACTCGAGACCTTCCACTCTGTTGCTGCAAAGGCCCACACCTGCAACGCGTACCGTAAGGGTTCAAGTCAGCCCTCGCGCAACACCCAACCTTTCTTTCCGTCTCGGGCAGATCCGACCCGCGCCGTGGGGGTAGGCAACTCATCCGTCAATTTGTAAGTTCATTCCTTTGTTTGTGATGAAAAAGAAAGTCTTTAAGCATTAAATTGTGATCCCAACTTGAATGATGTTAAAAATTTTCATTGCACAACAAAAACAATGGAATTTGCACGAAATTAGCGAAACTGTGACAGATGGGTTGCCCACCCACCACTGAGCGAAGTTTCACGGAAATCGGCCGGCGCATTCAGATTTGGCTCGGAAAACAAAAAGTAGTGCTTCAATTTTGTCCATCAGTGTATTTTTACTTTGCTTTTCAACGGAAGTGGGGTTTTCGCCGGTCCATGCTGATTTCCTGTTAACCTTATTTTCAATGAAAAGTACAAGTCGTAGAATACATTAGAAGATATTTGAAGCTCTTAAGAGTTTTTTTAAAACAAAGTTACATTTTGTGATGTGGGGGATAACGGTGCTTTAAGAAGCACAACGATTCTCCCATTTCACATCCAACCCTGTCACCCAAGCACAAAGATTTCACCTCCAACCCTGTCACCTGTTAAGACATTTTTCTTTTCTCTCACCCACACAGATCCATTCCTGCAAAGATAAATAGCCTTAGTCAATGCTTAAAATTTATTCAAAATTCTTAAGCTATTTTTACCGTAGTTTCTCATGATAAAACGACGGGTCTTGATCTAAAACTTACCCGATCTGAACGACATCTAGCCCGTTAGAAAGGCAATTAAATTCTCCATCTTTTGAGGCCTCAAGGTTTATTAATGTCTTATCTGGTCCGTTCATAGTTGAGAAAAAACTCTAACCGAGACTCTAACTTTAAGATGCATGTCACTTCGGACCCTCTACACTGTCTGAGAAACTGATTGCCGATCAAATGCGGGTTGGCTATGATCTTAGATTGGAGAGGTCAGTTACTACAAACCACCCTGTTATGCAAGGAGGTGCATGTGTCAAGTTACGCTACTCAACTTCCGGCAAAATCAATGAATTTTGATGTCTCATGTTACCCCGTACAGATACCATTTTCTATAAAAGTCAGTATTACCCGATGAACGATGGGTTTCCCTCGAAACTAATGCTACATTTAGAATGATGCACTGCAGGAAATAACCACAACAAAAGTACACAAATTTCTGGCAAATTTTTTATCAGGTTTTTATTGTACTTTCAAAGTACAACAATTGTTGTACAAAGTACAATGGAACCGGCATGACGAGTGCTGGGCAGTGCAGGCCTCGTTGTGGTTTGTACAATTCTCGTTGTACTTTCTACAGTCCCTGTTGTACTTTTATTGTACAGTTTTTGTTGTACATTTGTTGTACTATTCACACTTTTTCTTGCAGTGTGAAATAATAGGGTTGGAAGGTACTACAGTCATTTGGGTCTCAACAAGACGTGTTTCGACTACCGAGGAAAAATTGTTATAAAACTGACTTGCTGAGTCCAAGCCCACCGTTCAAACGCTTAATCGTCTTTCCAAACAAGTATGTAAAAAAAGTGCTTGGGCAGTTTTGACCTCCGAGTGTGCCCAGCTAGGTGGCAGCCCCAAAAAGGTAGAAAAGCAGAAGTGTTTCGAGTTACCCTTGCTGTCTCAAGTTACCCCGGTTTACGGTGTGCTTCAAAGAAAAAAGTTCGTAAGATTGCGCAGCATTGGTTTGTACGTTGCAAAGCATTTTCTTACCTACATTTAGTTTGCAAGAGAGTTCGTAATACAATGCCGGACAATCCTTCGCAAGAATTTTTGAGTATACTCACCTAAAATCCCCAGGCGGTAGTTCACTGACACGACGATTAAGCCACGGTCCATCAGATAGTCAGGGCCGTACATCGATTTGGTGCCACTTCCCCAAAGGAAGCCACCACCGTGAATGAAGACGAGGACTGGAAGCAAGGACTGGGCCGGCAGATCAACCTATTCATAGCATCGTCTGCCGTTCATTAGAGCAGTGGTTTAATCGGGAGAGAGGTTAATGCGAGCGGGGAACAAACGACCGCGGTAGCGATAGAAGGGGTGTGCGAATATTTCGACAAGGAATCGAACGTGCGGTAGAATTCAATGCCATTCGGAATCAAATTTGCAAGGTTCGATCTCGAAATCAGGGATCCGTAACTTACCTCATAAGGGCATCATAACGTTATCATAAGAGTTAAAGTTATTACCCTTCACTTCTAACATCTATTCAAAAGGGTAAGTTATTTTTTTAAGTCTCGAATTTGTACACTGTGGCAAAAAGCTACGGAAAATCCTGTAAACAGCTTGTGGTAATTCTCCGTAGGCCCCTTATCAATATTCTCCGTAGGCTCTTACAGTATTTTCTGTAGGACCGCACAGTATTCTCCGTAGGACCGCACAGTGATCTCCGTAGGACTATACAGTCTTCGAGGTCCTACGGAGAAGACTGTGCGGATTTACAGAGAATACTGTGCAGCCCTACGGAGAATACTGTAAGAGCCTACGGAGAATATTGATAAGAGGGCTACGGAGAATCCTGGCAAAAAAATTAACAGGATTTTCCGTACCTTTTTGCCACAGTGTATGGATATACTTTTTTGCAAGTACTTTCATAAGTCCGTACCCTTAACCTATAGCGAACATTGTCTTATGTTACGTTATGACAGCAGTGTTAGTTAAATGCCAAGTTAAGTTAAGGATCTCTGCTCGAAATTTACAATCTTTGGTGGTTCCTCTAGTATTACGTCCGGGGTATTACGGGTAATACCCCAGGCTGGGATAATTCCGGACACGTGCAGGGCTTTAGTTAGGCGCCTATATCTCCCTAACCGTTGATGAGATTTGGATTTCACGTATACCATTTTGAAGGTAAAGGTTCATACTGTACACCCCTGTAGTAACATTTGACCCATAAGGCATATTCAAGCTCAAAGATCAAAGGGAGGGGGTCATGCAGTGTTTTTTGCCTACCTGCCAGGCGGCCTTTCAAGTATCTGAGGGAGAGGCAATCACCCTCGCTACCCCTCCCCTCAATCCGCGCCTGATTTTATGTGGGCAATGGATCGTCCCCTCGGTCCAACTTCTTTGAACGTCTTACCTGAGGCGTGTATACGTTGAGGACCACAGGTCTGCCAATTTTCCACCCTTCAATATACCGGGTAATGCTCCCGCAAGAGTGTGAGTGGCATCTGGAGACTTCTCGGGTAGATGGTCCATGCGACAACCAAAATAAGCTTCAAGGGAAGGCGGGGATCCATGATCTCACGGGGTACCATGACCTCTCCCCTCGCTCTCGGGAACTGTTCGCCTGGCGACAATCGGTCCGCAGGACTTTTCCAACTTCAAGGGTAAAACCACAGCAGCCCGTAAAAAAAACAACCACAAATAAAACATGTATCTTCCGCTGTGATACTGAGAAAATATATGCCAGATTTTATGCCCAACGTAGCCAAAAATATCCATGTGAAAGCATACACAAGATGCAGCAAAACTATTTCCCTTTATCATAAATCTGGATTCAGTCCACAGAATAGAACGCGCAGACTGAAATAGTTTCAAGTTGTTCGATAAAGTGATGAGTTCGCTGTTGATTGATGGAGTTCCTGGCCTTGTCATCTCCCTCTTCCCACCAGTTGGAGGATTGATTTGAAGGAGAGTTCTAAAAAGACAGAAAAGAATCATTATTAATGCTGCTTCACATTCAAAATACACTATTGACAATCAATAACAAGATACGTACCTTTGGCAAAACTCTAGTGTGACCTGTAGTTAGGCAGAAGCTAGAATCTTTGGGTAGTTTAGTCTGTGCACATAATAAAAGAGAAAATACTCAGCAAACTCAACAGTGTACTCAGTACACTCTCTTTTGCGTGTACTGACGAGTACACTCTCTTCAGCGTGTACTGACGAGTACATTTCTTCAGCGTGTGCTCACAAGCACACTCCCACGAGCGTGTACTCAACTGCATGTATTTCCAGGATCTGAGCACACTCTCGTAAGCGTGTACTCATCTAGGTACACTCTCGTTTGAGTGTACTCATCAAGCACGCTCTCGTCAGAGTGTACTCATCTGAGTGAACTGTTGTCAGAGTGTTCTTGTGAGTACACGCTGAAAAGAGTGTGCTGAGCACACTGTTGAGTTTGCAGAGTATACTAGGGGTACGCGCCGTTTAGTGTGGGCGCGTAGTGTGGCTGAGCGATGCGAATTAGTTTGTGCACTTCAGACTTGGCTAAAGTTGACGAAATATGCAACTTATGGGCTCATATTGAGTGAAATGTGGGTCTGGAGTCAAAATGGAAGTGATTTTCGTTATCAGCACACAAAAAACTACTTGGATCAACATCAAACTCAATTCAAAAACTTTGGGCCAAATTTGGTCAAAATTCGGTAAAGCGTGAGTCTGAGAAAATTTCGGAAGTCATTTTTGAGTTCAGCACACCAAAAACTGTAGGAAACAATATTGAACTCGACTTGAAAATTTTGATCCAAAATGACCTTATTTGGGATGAAAATATAAGTCTGGAGTCAAAATGGAAGTGATTTTCATTATCAGCACACAAAAAACTACTAGGATCAACATCAAACTCAATTCAAAAATTTTGGGCCAAATTTGGTCAAAATTCGGTAAAGCGTGAGTCTGGGAAAAATTTGGAAGTTATTTATGAGTTCAGCTCACCAAACACTGCAGGAAACAATATTAAACTTGACCTGAGAATTTTGATCCAAAATGACCTAATTTGAGATGAAAATATAAGTCTGGAGTAGAAGTGGAAGTGATTTTCATGATCAGCACTCCAAAAACTGCAAGAATCAATATGAGTTTCAATTGAAAAATATAGATACTAAATTGATCTATAATGGGTAAAGTATGGGTCTGCGTTCATGGATCACCCTTTGTCGTCACCAATACCGTGATGCCTAACCACTGCGATTCCTTCACTCGAGTAACATTTTATTGCCAGCATTGAATCGCTTACTTGGCTACTTGTCTGCTTGAGTCACTATTCGATTTATATTTTTCTTCAAACCAATGAACTCACAAATTTATTGGTTATATTTGAGAAGCCTTTTGTCATTCTTTCATTTTCAACCAGTGAATTAAACAATATAGACTAGAATATGTGATTATAGTTTATATTAAGTGACTCACTTTTGGGCAGTCTGATCTGAAGCATTTGACGGAGATCAAGTTTTGTCAAATTCAGTGAATCGTCTCATGAAGTCCAATGCTGAGGCCACTTGTTGCTCAATACGCCAACATAATTCATCTTGTTCGTGTCTTGGGATATTTTATCTTTGGAGTAAAAGATGACAGTATAGTATTAACATTGGGTATTGGGCTAACGTTCAGAGAGCCAAATCATTACCAATACTAAGTTCCAGTTACCGGACACAAACTTTGGTGAAGTGAAAGGAATCGTCACATTAAATCCGATTGCCAAGTCACTCACCGCTCAAAACCTGAATCGTCTCTTTAAACCCAATATCAATTGAAAATCTGTTAGCATTAAATATACACATCTATATATTGATTCTTTTAATCAATAGATGTTAGGACTAGAATATTTATGTTACTTGCAGCATTGCAATAGAATGACATTTCCCGAGTCAAACCAAGACAATTAACATATCTTCTAATTTCAACAGAAGTTATTCATGCATTTACCTGATTTGATTGACTACGTTATTTAAAAATAAAGATGTTTACAGAGGAAACAAAATCAGTAGATGCATACAAAGTAAAAGGCAAAGGAAATATTCTATTTACAATCCACAACTACACTCACAGTGCACTGACCTGAAGGAAGATTCCCCCGTGACGGGAGAGGGGGAGAGGAGTACGAAACACGCAAACCATTCTCACTTTCAGTTTTCGTATTTTCCTCTGTTGACATTCCGGAAGGGTTTCAATCATTCTTGAATATTAAGAAAGTAACTCAGAACCTATTTCGGAGCCCCTCAGCTCTTCAGTTTGTTTATTTGCAAAAGTGCCGTCCCGTCTTGCAGACGGCTTGCAAGCGCGGCAGCCGGTATGAGAAATTGGTCGGCCACACGGTGCTACCAACCTAACAACGCTAATAACCTAGTTCAAAACGGTGTTTTGAATATTTCAAACTATGATAATTGCTGATCTAAGATAAACTCCCCCTGGAGGATGTTTAGGAGACATCAGGTGTGAAGTTTGGATACTATTCGTTCAGTAGTTGCTCAGAAACGTGAGTGAGTTACAGACAGACAGACGCACGACCAGTCAGTTTTTGGTGCGCCCAAACACGGCAAGGGCTTCGCTATCGCTCAGCCAATAAATACAGCTTGAATGAAGCTTGGTGCTGACATAATGACCACATTCAAGAGGATAATCTGATGGTCATCAGTATAAAAAATTGAGTTGCCTGTAGACAGAGAAAATAAAATAAATAAGTCGTCGCAGAAGATCGGGAAGTGTTCACATGATTACAGAGATTTATTCGCCATTATGTGGAAACTCACCTCGAACAATGATCATCGCACGGTAAAAACGGTTCCTGCTTTTCCCAGGAACTTCCTGGAAATCGCCTATTCCTTCACCATTGGCTTACTGGGAAAACCAGGTTCCGTTTTTACCGTGCGGGTTTAAGTTTGCGTTGGAGGCTGCAGCCAAGACCTCATCATTAGAAGCATTGAACTGCGAACAAATAAGCATGGTTAAGCTCCTCACACAATCTACATCAAATGAGACAGGGAAGAAAAAAGATGGAAGGTATACCTGTATGGCTTCGTAGAAAATGTTTGAATCTTCCTTGAAGTAACTAAGCAGAGGTGGTATTAAAACCTCTGAAAATGGAGCATCACACCTTTCCAATGCGACTGCTGCATCCAATTGGTCCAGGAGCTGGTCCACACCGGGGGCAACGCTGCTTCCAATAGTGGTTCAAGAATTGGCTGGCTAATATCTCTGGCATTATGCCCCAGAGAGAAATGTGTCCAAGATATCTTTGTCCACTAGATGATTAGCATGCTTATAAAAACAGTGATGAGACATGCCCAACTGGGCACATTTAAAATCTGGCATATGTTTTCTCACTATCACATTTGAAGATACATGTTCAATGTCATGAGTTCTTTACAAAAATTGAGTTTTTGGCCGTTTATAAGTAGTCACTGCGTCTGATCCGAGGCGGGCCTTCGTACTTTCTCAACGGGCAATCGATCCACGAAGCGGAAGAAGGGGTTAAGTCGAGTTGATTCAGTGACCTCTTATCAGTCTATCATGTAAACATGAGCGAAAATTTGGACCAAACATAAGTATGGTGAGACACGTCCCATCCTCTTGCATCTATTTTTAGATGACATTCCCCACCTGTTCTTCCACCTGCAAGCTTTAGGCCTTGCAAAAGTGCACGGATTCAACTCGACTTACCCCCTTCTTCCGCTTCGTGGACCAATTGGTCTTTGGACCTTTCTTTGGCATGCCTTTGTTACGTAGTGCGATTTTCGGCCTTAGTCTGGGAGTAGTATTGTCTCAAAGTTGATCAAAACGGTTACAAATGCCTTTGAAAAATCGTGTTTTGGGCCGACTTCAAGCAGTTTCCGCGACTTTATGTTCCCGGCAGTGCTCGGCCTGTAGGCCAGCCGGGAAACCGCCGCGACCCCAGCCACCTAGCGGCGACCCCTCAAAAATTTTTCGCGACCCCAAGGTTGAGAACCACTGGCCTAGAGCTGCTCACAATGTATGGAGTAGTTGGTCTTTGTACCAGTAGGCCCTACCAGTTCCTTCACGAGTTCAGTAAGGAGTCGGCCTTGTTCGTTCACAAATGGCACCCGCATCAGTCTTGACCACATAGCCTGAGGACACATGGCCCCCTCTTTAGTGGCGTCTCGGACACCACTCCAAGAATCGGGAGGAAGTGGTCCCTAAAATAAAAAGATTACTTCAGGCCTCTTTGACTGATTGGCGGCAACCGTAGACTTCGTGGCTAGACCAGGTCATACTACCATTAGGTATCTCCACTTTTTAATTGTAAACTACATCAACGCAGAACATCCTTTAAAGAAATATCAGGAAGTACCCACTTACTTTGAATCGAAGGTGGCCGATGGGAGGCTTGGCGTATGGAACACCAAGAAAAGACAGATATGTTCTTCCAGATTTTGATACATCTCGAAGACCACGAAGAGAGCCCTCGCGAACTCGGACTATTGGTCCTGCCAATGTGAGCATCACGGCAAGAATCAGTTCAACGCAGGCTGAAAAACACTCATACTCTTTACGGGCTCCTACGACCGAGATCTGCGGATTGGATCACGGAATCGGTTTGAACTTTATGGGTTCAGTAGGTACCTTTAGGACCTTTCAACCCTAAGAGGAAAGTTTGCTGGCCCAAATAACACTTGAGCGAACAGTTTTTACTATCGGAAAATCAGAAAGCGATATTTTCCCGCTTATTTTGTCTAATTTAGAAAAATGTTAATATCTCTGGTGTTATTTGAGCTGGCCCACTTTCCTCTTATTAGGGTTGATAGGTCCTAGTGGTACCTATTGAAGCCACAAAGTTTGAACCGATTCCGTGACCCAATCCCAGATCTCGGCCCACCTTGGGCTGGAGTTACTCTTATATCGGCTAAACGCAAGCTAAACGTTGCGCCAACATTGTTCCTTGTTTTGATTTCTCTTTATGGGCAAAGCATAAAATTTGTACGTTTTACAGTCTATTTCTATTGGTCATTTCACAAAAACCTAGCATTTGAAGTGATATCCCCGAAGTATAGCAAACTGCTGTACAAATCTAAGAGCGTTCATAGTATGCTCTACCTAGAGCATGCCTGCCTGCAAGGACGGTCTAGCTAGCGCATGCCTGCCAAGCATGCACTTATTGACGCATACATGCCATGTTCACGCTTCCTGAAGCAGACGACTCCCTATCCCTTGTGAACTAGATGTGTGCTCCAGTTAGCGTGTATATGGCATGTCATGCATTAGTTAGTGCATGCTTGGCAGGCATGCGCTTGCTAGAGCGTGCTTGCAGGCATGCTCCAGGTAGAGCATACAATGTACGCTTTTTGATTTGCAGCGTGACACTGCAAAGCCGGTGGTAAGTTTACTTGCCACAAATTTGGCAAGCCGTTTTGAATGCCAAAAATTGGCAAGCTTGGCCCGGAGATACGCCCCACGTTGCCAAAATTTGGCAAGCTTAATTATGAAGATTTTCGACCAAAGCTTGCCAAATTATGGCATTCAAAACGGCTTGCCAAATTTGTGGCAAGCAAACTTACCACTGGCTTTGCAGCGGAATAACAGTCAAGAGATACAAGATGTCGGCGAAATTAGCAAACTGTATCAACGGACAAACCTGACTTCGCCCCTTGTTGTCGAAGGCCGTCTAATATTCCCGGCGCCGTGGCCACCTGCTGCCCGATAACCATCAAACACGCGAAGTACAGTGCCTGGCGCGCAGCTGTAAACGTGACAAAGTCTCGACGGGGAAAGGAGGGGAAGATAGTACATGTTGAAGAGATGGTATGTTACATTAAATTACAAGGTAGGGGTCGGGGTACGCCAGACAGTGGCTTGTCGTTAACAGGCTTCGCGATGCCGCGCTAGTTCCCGAAATCCACGTCTGGCGTTTAAAACCACCTTGGCCTGCGGTGCTCGCTCATGGGCTCACACTCGGATTCTGGCGAAATTATGCCCTATTGGGATTCGAATCCGGAGGTCTAAATGGATTCCTATTTCGTCATCAGCAACCTCCCAATAGGTACTCCAATGAATCTTGAAACAGAAGAAAAAGAACAATAGTAAGCCCCGAAGACAGCTTCAGCGCATGCGCACCGGGTGGTGGGGGAACGCCTGCGTATGCGCAGAACCTGTTTTTAGGGATTTCTTTTAATTTCTTCGTCCGTTTCAAGATTCATTGGAGTACCCTATTCACATGAACTGATGTTAAACTAAGTATGAAAATGTGAGTCATTGAAAAGTTGACGTTTCTGCCATGGAGAATTCTCCACGTCTCTGCTGTTTGTTTCAAATGTGTTTCTATGGCTGGAATGATGAAATGGATCCAGGTAGACAGCTGAATTTCGACGTGTGGCGAGCCTAGGACATACCTAATGACCCTGCAAAATCTCAGCTAGATCGGTCGAGCCGCACTGTAGCGAAAAACTAAGGAAAATTATGTAAACAGCTTGTGGTAGGACTACACTGTGGCAAAAAGGTACGTAAAATTCTGTTAATTCTTTGGCCAAGATTCGGCAGGGTCGACATGAGCCCCGTCCCGATATAGCCCCGATGACCTGCGCCCCTGCCAGAGCTGTGGAGCTTTGCAAGCGTTCCGTTGCTCAGAGAGATGTTGTGTATGAAATTATGGTAGGCGACGGGGACTCTAAGACTAATGAGGGTGTTGTTGAGGAAAATCCTTATGGAAATTGTGTTGTGAAAAAGCGTGAGTGTGTGGTGGGACATGTTGGCAAGAGAATGGGCAGGCGTTTGAGGGAGTTAAAGAAGAAAGTTCCAGGACTTGGTGGTAGGGGGAAACTTACGGGTACAGAGATAGATAAATTAAACTATGGAAAAGCCATCAGAGACATCCCGAATCAGTAGAAGACGTGAAGAAAGCCATCTGGACTACATTTCATCATCGTGGTGGATATCATAAATTCTGCCCCATCGGAGAGGAATCGTGATGTGCCTTCCAAAAAGCCAAGGCTAAACATCAACGCTTTGACAACACTCCACGCTTGTCCAAGGATATTTTGACCAAAATTAAACCAGTCTTTAAGATCCAACCAAGGACGAATTACTTGAGCGGTGTCTTGGAGCCCACACACTAAATGCCAACGAAAGCTTCAATACAGTGGTGTGGAGTATGGCTCCCAAAACCAAATTTGGGAGCAACGTTATTTTAGAAACTGCAGCCAACATTGCAGTTTGCCTATTCAGTGCAGGCAGCAAGACTCTCATGACCATTTTTAAAGGAATGGGGTGTGCTGTGGGGCTCAAATGCCTGGAAGAATGCATCAACAGGGACGACCAACGTCTCGCCAATGCTGGAATCCGAAGTGCTGCAGCTACCAAGGAGTCAAGAATTCAGCTTCGCCGGGCCCGCCTGGACGCCCAGGAGGCCGCCATACGAATACCCACGAATACTTCACTGGGAACTGAAACGTCGATATTCTGCGCGCTCGTACGCGTAATACGAAACCCGCCACTGACGGGTGACAGACAGATTGGAAACAAAATTACTGAGTGTCTCACTAACTTGCTCAAAATTTTCTTCTTTGATCAGATCACTAATGAAGTGTAAATAAAGGTCTCTTCTATAACCGTTTTGTGGCGATAGCAGAGCCCATCCTGCGGTCGCGAGTATGTCCGTCTCTGAGGAGACCACGGGATAGATGAGACTCAAAATTTATACGCACTATATAAATGCCCAAATTAAAAGTAAGGGAGCCATTTTTCGATTCCTCGCATTTTAAATTATTAGCAGATATTTAATTTTTATCAGGTGCGCAGTTGGCACAACATTCTGTTGATAGCACAGCTTTCAGTTCTCGCCCAGCAAACAACACAGTCGCTGTTCTTCACGCGTCGATTTTAGTTTGTGATACAGTGGAACTGAATCGAGTTTTTCATTGATACTAGAATACTCTACGAACTGAAGTGTATACTCAGTATGCATCTTCAGATGCATACTTATAAGTTCACACCTACAGATGCATACCTAGCTGAGTACACATCTACAGATGCATACCTGTTAAGTATGCATCTGTAGGTGTGTACTTATAAGTATGCACCTGTAGATGCATACACTCTCAGACTCGTATTGACTGTTTAATCTTTTGCCATAAAGGTTTTTGTGCAAACGTAATATGTAGTATTTTCTCTATGACTATTCACTATTTTGTTCGTTGTATAATGTTTATAGTCCATTAAACCGGACTTAATATCATTAGCAATGTACTTTTCAATTTCTATATGCTCTATTGACAATTTTATCCCTAAAACGATCAAAATTGTGCATAGTTAAGAAGAAAATAGTACATTTTACGTATGCTCAAAAACCGCTATAAGCACTCTGCAAACTCAAGTGTGTGCCAGGCACACACTTCCTGGTGCATGCCTGGCAGGCACACACTTCTTTTCTGCATGCCTGGCAGGCACACACTTCCTGGTGCATGCCTCAGGCACACACTTGCCGTCGCTTATGCGTGCATAAAAGCAAGTCTGTGCCTGAGGCATGCAGAAAAGAAGTGTGTGCCTGCCAGGCATGCAAAAAAGAAGTGTGTGCCTGCCAGGCATGCAGAAAAGAAGTGTGTGCCTGCCAGGCATGCACCAGGAAGTGTGTGCCTGCAGGCATGCACCAGGAAGTGTGTGCCTGGCACACACTTGAGTTTGCAGAGCAAGAGAGAAAAAAGTTCATATAGGTCTGAGCGTGACTGAGTACACACTTCAGAGAGTATTAATGTGCTCATCATGAAAACGTCACCCAATTTACTGTCAAACCCTTATTTCGACCCCCAAAACGAGCAGTTTTGGAGCAAAATTGTGATGCTACGTTTGAAATTAAATCCGGAAAATATGAGAATATTCCACTCTCCAGGATGACCATTGGACTGGTAAAAGTGGTTCCTGCTTTTCCCAGAATCTCCCTGGAAATCGCCTGTCTCTAAGACAGGCTTCCTGTGCCTACCATGTTCCGTTTTTACCGTGTTACCACCATTTGAGCCTTCAAAATGCATGGATATAAGCGGGGGAAATCACTCGCGTACACTGTGGCAAAAAGGTACGGAAAATCCTGTTAATTTTTTTGCCAGGATTCTCCGTAGCCCTCTTATCAATATTCTCCGTAGGCTCTTACAGTATTCTCCGTAGGGCCGCACAGTATTCTCTGTAAATCCGCACAGTCTTCTCCGTAGGACCTCGAAGACTGTATACAGGGTGAGTTTTCTCAATGTGTCAATAATTTGTAGGTAGTTTGGGCACCCCAAGGGGATCATTTTCTACCAATGAACTAGTGGGCGCAAACGTCTAGGTACGGAGATAATTGGTGTTTTGTAATTAGCCTTCGCGCCTGCGAGGTAGGCACCAGAGAGGACGGAACAGAGAGGTATAACTCCCATGCTAAGCCGCTCCGCCGATTTCGTCGGGCCCGACGGCCGCGCGCCGACGGTAGCGCACCTAGCGGTGCGGTCGCGCGCTTTTTGGCTGGAGCTCGACACGGCCCGGTCGGCCCGGGCCGCGCCGCTCGTTTGAATGCGCGGTCGCGCCGCCTGGCGGCCGGGCGGCAGGCTCGGCAAGCAGTTTTGAACTATTATTGTAAGGAGCTGGGACCGAATTTCGAACAATTGACTGTTAGAGAGCTTAGTCGGGCAGGGCTAGTAGCTATTCGTGCCTCAAAATACCTCCTGCAGCCCCTCAGTTTTAAATTGTGGAGCCTCAAAAATGGCCTAGGCTACGATGCGGCACGGCGCGCCGCCCGCCCGGCTCGGTACCCGGTTTTTTAAGCTTAATTATGGCTCATCCTGGCCAAATGTTCTGGTTTTGGTGTTTGAATTGCATAGAGGACTGCTTTGAGTGCCAGTTAGTATGATTTTCAAATCATTATTGCTCTTCTTTACTATTCTATAGGAAGGCAAAAAACGCTTGTGTGGCAGACGTGAGAGTAGAAAATAGCCTTAGAACAGAGAAAAGTAGACAAGCAGTGGAAAGCACAAAGTGGACTCAGAGGGAACAGCAAAAACACTTGCAGTACATCAATTGTCATCATGGTCAACCTAACAATGCTAACACACTAGGAGAAAGAAAAGAGATTAGATCAACCCTGTAAAAAAGAGAAAAAAATTAGAGCCCAGTGATCCCCAGATTGGCCTCTAGTACACAGCACAAACCAGGGTCACAATGCTAAACATAATACTATCAAGGGAAAAAAGGGAAAAAATTAAAAAAATTAATGGTTAGTGAACACTAAAAATAAATTTATTAAAAACTTAAAAGTAAAAAAACTATGTACAAAATATATACAGAAAACAATGAAGGAACTAATCAACTTCATAAGGACGGAATCAGGTACAGGCTCCAAAGTCATTCCCGTTGCACATTTGTGGCCAATCACACAAAATGGATGGAGTAACTTGGAGTTGTAGGACGCAATCAGGGGGGCTGCAGTCAAATCCGAGATGGTATCAGCAGATATACATTCTCACCAGATATAATCTCACCAAATATAATCCCACCACATATAAATCTCACGAGATATAAATCTCACCAGATATACAGTAATTAATTTTATTTGTTTAAACGCATATTCGCACGAGATATAAATCCCACCAGATATACAGTAATTATTTTTTTAAAATAAATATATATGCAGCTGTCCCTGCTCTTGCGACGCAACGCAACTACACTGCATACTCGACAGTGTGCTCAGTACACGCTATTTGACCTGTACTCACAAGTACACTCTAACGAGCTTCGCTAAATACACTCCAATGAGAGTGTGCTCAGATTAGTATATTCCAACGAGTGTGCTCAGGTCAGTAAACACTTAACGTAGTTCCCTTAAAACGAATGAAGCTGAGAACACGCTTGTGGGACTGTTCTCTTGGGTACACGCTAAAGAGAGTGTACAAGTGCGTTCAATCAAGACAGAGCTGACTTTGCAGAGTAGAGCACTTCAGATACCCGTTCCATACATATATAAACTGCAGTTCTGCTAACATGTTAACCTGCATTGCATATGATATGTTTTTATTGTTATACCTGGTGAGAATTATATTTTGTGGGAATTATATTTAGTGGGAATTATATCTGGTGAGACGGTTAATTTTAAAATATAAATATCTGTATATCTGGTGGGATTTATATTTCGTGTGAATATGCGTTTATAAAAATAAAATTACTAGGTGTATATCTGGTGAGATTTATATCTGGCGGGATTATATCTGGTGGGAATGTATATCTGGTGAGGTAACCCCGTCAAATCCTCATAACAAAATGGGGACAATGCAAGCCAAGACAAAATCGGGTATCTGCAACTGTAACAGTAAATGGTACAGTACAAGACAGTCATAGTTGAGCTGTGTGCAAGTCTACAATTATGTAGGCAGCAGACAAAATTAGGGAAAAAAGATTTAGAGTAGCTCAGCTCCCATGAGTTGGGAAAAGCAAGGTCGAACCCGACACAAGCTCCACCCACACAAATGAAAACCTCGCAAAAAAAAAAGAAAAATAAAACAAATACACAAAGAGATTTAAGGCACAAGAACTCAAACACAGCTGACTAGAAAATTTCACTCCACATTTTTTCCTTCCAACACTCTCGCTTCAGCCACAGAGGAGATTTCACACAACACTGCTTCTTCTTCACTAGGATCATTGAATGCATCTTCAGTTTGCTTCTCAATACTGGTAGAGTCTTTTTCAAGGTGCTTCTGAGTCTTCTGTGGAGCCCTATCACACACTTTTCTTCACACAACACAACTTCTTCTGCACCAGGATCATCAATTTTTTCTTCATTTTGTTTCTCAATACTGGTTAAGTCTTCTTCAATCTGCTTCTGAGTCTTCTTGCTCCTCTTCTTTGGTGCTCCCACTGACACACTTCTTTTCTTGGCTGCAAGGCTGGCAATTGTCTTTTTATTTTTCCAGTGCTGAGCATATTCTCTATTCAAAACCCTACACCTGTGATATATTGACACACGCAGGAAGTATAACACAAAGAGTCTCTGTATCTCCTCAAGATGCGCACTGCATCCCAATGATTTGACATCCACATCTCGCATTATTCGTTCCTTTATGGTACTCATCAGGTTAGGGAGATGAAAGCTAGTATGCATCATTTCTAGAAAAATATCAACACAACAGACCATGGTGTCGATAACATACACACTTGCATAAACCAACCGCTTCTTCTCATCATACTCAAACGCAACCACTAAATCATGTTCTGGCTTGATCTCTTCTGACAAAAGACACTCTTTACACTCATCACAATCCAAAATTCTTGCAAGAACTTTCTTCACCACATAGCCCGCTACAAATGCAGTCATTTTCCTACGCTTACCAAACAAGCCTTTGTTTTCCTTCTGAAGTGCTGCTTTCACACACTGTTTTTCCTTCTCTTCATCTTGCTTTGCATCACTCTTCTTCTTCCTACTCAACTTCTTCTTCTCAGTAATTTTGTGCGCATTTTCTACAGTAATGCCACTTTCATTATCTTCAGCAAGACACACAACTGAATCTGGATCACTCCCCTGTGGCTGATCACCAAACAACGCTCCAAATATATCACTCACTTGTGCCTCTCCTTCTGACTTCACATTCACTTCATCCTGAGGAACAGCGGAAACACCAAGCTGCAACAATTCTAGCTCCTCCTCTCTCGACATTTCATCTGGAACTACATCATCAGTCAAACCAGTCTCCTCATAGGATTTGCCTTCTGCCACTTTCTTTGATGCCTCCTCAAACAACTTGTTCATATCTGTCAACAGCTCTCCTCCGTCCTCTTCACAATTTGCACCCCTGATCCCACTGTTCCTCAGGTTAGTGACAATAGAAGTCTTCAGACCAGCAATAAACTGAACAGCAGTTGGCACCTTCGCTCCATTTGACTTTATCACTGAGAATAAGTTCTCCAGTGGATCTTGATTGAGCCTTCTCAAATTGAGATACTCAAACTGATAATCATCTTTCAGATCCTGCCATAAGTCTTTCACAGCACTAATATTCTCAAGCCATCCGAGGTGTGAGGAAAACACAGTTTTTGAGTTCACAAACCACCACTTTTTAATGCGTTCCTCCGCCTCCTTCCAAAAAGCCCAATGTGGTGAGTTTTCTGATAAATTGACTCGAAGGGCCTTACCTCGGCCTCTGGGACTGCTCCCATTGAAACTGTCAAACAGCTTGTCACAAAAATAAATAAAATCACTGGTATCCTTACACCCCGGAATGGCTTTGCCATCACTCCAAACATCAATCATTTTCAAAGCAGTTGCAACTTTGTGGCTGAGAATTTGAGCGGCCAATGCCACACTCATCTTATCTGAATTCTGGCAGGCTTTCAGATGCTTATCAGTGAGTTTCAAGCTAATTGCATAGAATGTACCGTCAATGCCATCCTGCTCTTTCAGTTTTTCTAAGTGCACCCACTTGGCAACTTTGCCATCATCAAACTCAACATTGTAGGTCTGAAAGTTGTTCCGAAGATTTTTCAGAAGGTGAGGCACATCCCACACATGATACACTTTACGCTGATTTACCATGTAGTGCGTTGTTTGGGCTGGGCGGATGGAAAATGAGCGACACAACCTACAAGAACGCTTGGAAAAGAAGCGCTCATCATTCTTCAGCTGGGCACCACTCTTTCTTGCTTTGGTGATAACAATGCGCTTCTTTCTGCAGGTGTCACACAGCCTAGGTTTGGTGCGCTTGGGTGGGTTGTGGGACTCTCGAAGTAGGCGGACTGCCAACTTGTTGTTGTTGCCCTGGTCACTCACAGAAGCTCTGACATCGAAGCCAATTTCCTGCAGAGCTGAAATCACACTCACAGCCAACTCAAGCAAAATTTCACCGGGCACATCACCTTGACTGAAGTAATAAGCCACAGGCTGCTTCCACTTTCTCGTTAAACTTTGCACCATGAAAACAAGAGCTTTGTCTGCTACTCTATTTTTAACACTGCCCTTGCCTCTATCTTCAAAACCAATGATTCTATCTTTAGCCTCACTATAATTAAGGGATTTGGCAAGATGAACTTCATCCCACATCACTGTACAAGCTCTATCTCTGGGGTTGAAATTTTTAATTATCTCTTTCAAGTGCTTGAAGTATTCTACATTAGAACCGACATCAAATTTCAAACGTGACATTAATTTATGCAAAATAGATGCTGAAGGTAAAAGCAAAATTTTTCTCAAAAAGCTATAATTTTTTCTTGAAGATTTAAATAAAGCCAAAGATAATGTTTTCTGGGACAAAGTGAAACGAAAACCTTGTGGCTTGCGGCCATGATTAGCAATCTGCGCTTCCATCAGCAAAGCACCTTCTTTGGTCTTCATCTTCTTTCTAAGCTGGGAAACTAAAGGCGCATTAGACAACTTAACCAAGGCCTTTCTGTTGTCCTTCACTGCGAGAAGAGAGCGCTTCAGGGAAGCCACCTGCTTGAGAAGCAGTTTGTTGTCGTCAATGATGGCTTTCTTCTTTGGTGTGATGTCGCCCTGGGACAGGTTGTAGGATCCTAAAACAGTACGATACTTGGTGCTGACAGACTTACGAGTCACCTTCCTCAGGGGGGCTGAAGGACGACTAGATGAACCACTCGATGTTGAAGCAGATGCGCTCGAGGCAGATGAGCTCAAACCAGAGTCATCACTGAAAAGAAGGCGACAAGTAGGCTGCCTCGCAGGAAGTGGAGTAGTTGTAGCGGCTTCAACACAGCGTCTCTTGGTCACACTATCACAGCTGTTGCTCAAATCATCTAGAACTTTCCTTTTAAAAACAGCATTAGGAAAAACCGGGGTAGATGCATGACTAGAATGCGCAGACAGTTTGAAGGAAGAAGAACTACTCTCACCAAACAATAAGTCTACAGGAGAGGAACTAACTAGATCAGTCTTAAGCTCAGGTACAGTAGGACCAAACAATAAGTCTACAGAAGAGGAAGTAACTAAATCAGTCTTAAGCTCAGGTAAAGTAGGCGGTTTGTCAACAAGAGGGTGCGAGACAGGGATGGCAATGCGAAGCGGGGCTTTGGGAGCGGGTTTATTTTCTTTATTAGCAGGAGACAGAAAAGTAGAAGGAATTTTGTCCCTGGGAATAGGAGGATGTTGGAAAATAGAAGGAGTTGCATTGCGGACAAGAGCAGACAGACAGTTCCCAGCCACCATGTATTGATCCCGAGTAAAATGTTTACTACACAAAGCACGAGTCGTCTTAAGCTGATGGTGAGTGTACATAAGAAGCAAGGAGTTACCAGAAAGCATGACCCACTTATAGCAATTGTCTACATCGGAGGGAAAGCGATGGAAGCGATACTGAGGAGTTAGTTTAGCATTACTTTCACAACCAAGAGCCGAGCACCTCTTGTTAGTAGGCAGACCACTTTTACCACTAACTCCCATTTTGATAAAGATTTAGGACACAAATAGGTAAAATATATCACAGAATAAGTAGAAATTATGGCAAATTATCACAGGCCGTTAAAATAACATTTTTGATATGGATTGAGCAGTGTATTAAGGGGGCAGTAGCGTCTTTTGCACGTGTTTTGACGATTTTCGAACCTCCTGTTTAGACGTTAATATAAAGATAAGTATGAATGCCAGAGACAAACGGCAGGCACCATTTAAAAGATAAAAGTTTTTACAACATTTTCAAAAAAAAATATTTTGTTTTAGCATTGAATTAGGATGTTTTGTGTTATATGCAAAAATGGTCTGCAAAATTACATGGTTTCACTGCGCGCACGATTGCAGCCAAAGTTTTTAACTTTTTACCAATCGGTAAAATGCATCTGAAAAAGCATGAAATTGCCCATAAAATGACCCTTGGGTTTTAATATTGGGCCAGAAAAAATGTGGTTCGTTTCCATCTTAAGTTGAAGATGAGCGTTTCAATAGTTTTTCTTGCCCAATATTGAAACCCAAGGGTCATTTTATGGGCAATTTCATGCTTTTTCAGATGCATTTTACCGATTGGTAAAAAGTTAAAAACTTTGGCTGCAATCGTGCGCGCAGTGAAACCATGTAATTTTGCAGACCATTTTTGCATATAACACAAAACATCCTAATTCAATGCTAAAACAAAATATTTTTTTTTGAAAATGTTGTAAAAACTTTTATCTTTTAAATGGTGCCTGCCGTTTGTCTCTGGCATTCATACTTATCTTTATATTAACGTCTAAACAGGAGGTTCGAAAATCGTCAAAACACGTGAAAATGACGCTACTGCCCCCTTAAGGGAGGATGGGGCACCTAGTGACAGGGGCACCTGGTGACACAGAGGTGCCCTGGCCACCCTATGGCACTTTCTGACATCTTGAGGTGTCTAATCTAAAGGTCTTGTGCTGTGGAATCATGTTCAAGTGAGAGTGAGACTTTGAACCAAATATTTTAGCACCTAGAATAAAACCAAGTAGGGATGCAAAAATACCGGTAAGATTCAAAGTTACGTAAAATACGGTAAAATACTGTATTTTACCGTATTATACGGTAAAATTGATTTTTCTCGACTTTGAGGGGTAATTGTGGTACTTCTTGTGAAAATAGGAGGGGAAAAGGTACGTTTGGATGAGGGTGTATCGGTTACATCGTTTCATACATACTTCCAAGCGAACATGACTCAAGAACAACGTCGCATTTTGAAAGACAAGGACCGAACACTGTGTGGGTTATTAACTTTTCTCTGACTTACTGATCCCTCCCCCTTATGTCTGAATTTTGTGGACTTTCCCTTTTTGTAAATAAATTTTGATTCTGCCTGGTTCTTTTGACCGTAAATTAACAGCCCAAATATACTGAAGTGCAAAAATGGGGCCTTTTTTTCTCGTTGTCCATGTAAGTTGGCTCAATTTCATGAAAATTCTTTTTCCTGAAAGGCACCGGCGGCCCCATGGTGTCCAATCATGTTCATGTCTATTGCATTTTTCAGCTCAAGTAACTAACCAGTATCTACCCCTATTTTTACCTATTTTCTGCTTTAAGTTAGTTTACACATTATGCTTATCTTGGCAACAAAGAAGCTTCTGGTTTGGCTCGTGTAGTTAGATTTTAATTTCCACAAGTTTTGCAAAAGAAGAGAACATTGACTTCTTGCTTTGTTTAAGTGCCCAGAGATGACGTCTTACACGTACATAGGGCGGCGCGAGGGGCAGATACAAACCAAGAGTTCCCAAGAGGCGCTGTTTTCAGTCCCTACGTCCTAATTCATCGTGTGGCAGCAAAAGAAGGGCAAATAAGTCAATATTTCAAAATTACCGAAAAATACCTATTTTACCGGGGTCGCCGTAAAATACCGTATTTTACCGTTCTTTACCGGTAATATTACCGGCCTTTACATCCCTAAAACCAAGAAAATAATTACCCAAAATCACAGATTTTACGTCTTTTTTACAAAATGTTTTCTCACCATTCTTCCAGTAAACGGCACTGCCGATCGTTCTGGCATTTTAAATCAATAATAAGGACCTTTAGTAAGTGGTTTTCGCTGAACCAGCTCAAACATATGATTTCATTTCCTTAATATCAAATTCTGAACGAAAATGAGCCCCCGGGGCAGGTAGTGACAGACACACTCTATTTACCGTATTCTAACGATTTAAACGTTTCAAAACATCGATTGAGCAACCACAAAGTAAATTGTCACCGATTGTCACACAACGAAACATAAATAAGACTAATTTGTACGACAATTTCGTAGAACATTGAATTTGATTGGCAATGTAACAAAATGCAGTTTCTTGAAAAAAATGGCGCCGTTCAGAATGCACTCTGAGAAAAAATGACGGTAAATCCTGGATAATTTTTTTGCCAAACTTTACCGTACTTCAAAAACCAGTATCCACCGTACAGTCTACAGTATGTACCGTACTTGTTTTACAATATATTCCGTAGTTTTTTTAACAGAAGTTACCGTTCTTTCGGACAGTCCATGCCGTAGGAAGGACCAGATCTGGTCCCAACAAAGGCCGCTCCCAAGAATTGATCCAGGAAGCGGAAGAAGGGAATAACTTGACTTATCCCCAAATTGAGTTTTTATTTTACTATTGTGCCTTAGAATGGTTTACATCATTTCACCAAATTATTTGACTGAATTCCAAGCAGTTTAGGAGAAAATCCACATGGAAAAAGGGTATAACTCAACTTAAGGGGGCTCATACGTTTTGAAATGGTCAAAATATCGGTTTTCTGGTTACGATGCCTTGAGAAAAAGCACTCATTTCCGCGTCTTTTAAGCCTAAGGAGAGGTCCGAATTCGTAAAGCTCGCGCCACAGGAGCTCGCGCAGCATTGTTCTGCACTGTCCCCCAACACGTATCCAGCGACCCCCGGGGGTGGAGGCGTGACCTTTGACCCCTGTTTTCTCAGCTCGCCGTTTTTTGACCTTGCTCGTAAGATAACTAATGACTCGCTTTGGTTTGAGGTCTGAAATTTTAACTGAGTGTTCGCAACATCAGTAAGCATAGAATTGACTACAATGACGAGGATTAGACAAGATTTAGTTGATGAACAAATTTTTTCAATTAATAAATTTGATACATTTTAGTAAAAAAATGAAGATTATTTTTTTTCTCCCAAACTACTGAACTTAGAAACACAATTGTAGTCAATTCTATAGCGGGCATAGAAAGGAGTCTCCAGTAATTTTTTTTTTCAAATCGAACCAGAATTGTGGTCTGAATCTTACGAGAATGAAAATTTTAGACTTCACCATAAAATCTACAAAAATGGTCCAATCTCAACTTTTTTTTTTAAATGTTCATTTTTCTATTTTCTACTAGGATTTTTACCCAGAAACTCAAAAAATTTTGTCCCAAAATATTTAACACTACGAAAACCGAAGTCATGTTTAAAACGTATGAGCCCCCTTAACCCCTTTTACAGTCTAAATTTCATTGGAAAATGGAGATAACTCAACTTTAGTCTACATGAGTCCGTTTGACAAATTGGCAAAAGGATATAACTCAACTTGTGTTTTAATGGATCTAGTGTAAAAAGGATCAACTCAACTTAACCCCCCCCCTTAATTTTAAATTTCAATTTGGAAAAAAGAGCTAAGTCCAAAAAATACACCAGAGTAACATACACTTTATGCAGACTATTGTTCCACTTGACTTGTCTCCAAATTCCTCTTTGTTTAGGAAATATAAGGTGAGCTGACTCTGTTTTCCATTTCAACGGAAAGTGATAAGTCGCAGAAATCCTCTACGGAGTGACCTTACACTTTTGATTTTTTTTCCAAAATTTTACTCATGCTTTTTGAAATTATTAACATCTGCAACATTCATTTGTTTTGTTTTAGTTTTCCCTGCTAACAGTTTTTTGTTTCTCCTGAAAAATGGCCAAAATTGAGTTATCCCCTTCTTCCGCTTCCTGGATCAATTGTCCACATCAGGATCTTCAAAAAAGGGGGTCGACCGACTGAAAAATTTTATTGCACCTTTCGATAGGTCTCGTCAAGACCTTTTCAACGAGTGGTCGGAAGGGGGGTCCAGGAGTCCGACTTCAGCAGTTACGTACATCAGAATCTTGAAAAGCGAGGGTGAAATAAATTATAGCAGTTTTTGATAGGTATTAAAAGTACGGGATTGCCGGGTAAAAAAGTACGGGATTCCCTGTAAAAACAGTACGGCGTTGCCTGTAAAAAAGTACGGCATTGCCTGTAAAAAAACGACGGTATTGTCTGTTAAAAAAAGTACGGAGAAGTCTGGAGTAATCAGTACAGGATTTACCGTGATCTTTTCTCGCAGTGTGGTTTGATATTAAAAAAGCTTTAAGAGCCTAAAACGGATAATTTTCAATTAGCTGGAGCGTCGCTCTATGCTGGTAATGTGAGTTATATGACCTGTCACTAGGTGCCCCGGGCTGGGGCACTAAGTGACAAGTGCAGAGGTCTGCGGGAAGCTATGTAAATAATAGAAATAGGTGTTGTCAAAACGCCACAACATGTTTTTAAGATCAAGGAAGGATCAAAGCAACCTTCTGAAGTGTAAGCAGATTCATTTCTCGCACAGTATCGGAGTGAGATCCAAAATCCAAAAAGTGTCACTAGGTGCCCCACCCTCCCTTAGCAGGGGGTGGCAACGGCCTAGGGAGAGCGTGAAGCGATGCTCGCGCCGTCAGTGCAGGCAGAGGTTGCGCACTTGTTCGAGATCATGAAAACTAGACAGTGTTTTTCAAAACGCTTCGCACCGATGGAGAGGGCTTGAAATTGAGGGTGTATTAGGCTAATTGCTCTTCTCGAAACTCCCCCCTGACTTTATGTTAAGGTGCAGTAAAAACACCGAAAAACACGAGAAATCATAAAATTCAGGAAAAACTCGAATGCGCCTTAATGATGTAAATGATTCCGCCCTTGAGTTTGAGTTAATGAGGTATTTTGCGATAGTGAAGAAGAGAAAGAAGAAGATGCGGCGGTGGGGGTAGAACATAACAAACCCTCACTTGTTCGGCCGCCATCTTGCCTGGCGTCTGCTAGAGGCTCCGCGCGTCGTCTAATCGTGCTCAAACGAATAACAAAGAGATTTAGCGTGCGGGGGCTGTAAATTCGTGAAGTTTGCGGGTTTTTTAAAAATATTATCGTATCCTAGAAAGAATATATAAGGTGAGCATAATTTATTTGCAATAATGCATTGTTTTTAGAGCCGGGAACATCTCTAACGGGTATCGGTTAACCTTACCGGCTCAAATAGTTTACTTATTTTATTATTGCCTGTCGTACAGGAGTGAAATAGGTGTTCAAAGTCTATTGAATGTCATGAAGAATGATGTCATTGTACAGTCCAGTAAGTTACTAGTGAATTTTGGTTGATTTCATGTATCTTGTTGATCTATTTTAGAGTTGGTTTTGACACTTTACATACAATTTCTTTTCCATTTTTTAGGTGAAGCGAGTTATTGGTCAAGGCCTTTGTGGCATGATAAATAATAAGGATGGACTAAAAAACGTTTGCTTTTGTAATGCAGTCTTGCAATGCATTTTGTCCTCTAAGATTGTGCGACAGATGCTGGACCAGATAACTAACTGTACTCACACTCAACCTTTGACAGCTGCCCTCAAAATCACTATCAATGAGCTGTCTCAATCAGTCTCCTCTTATCGATGTGAATATTTAATGGTACGTCTTCAAACCTTTTAAGCGTTTAATTTATGCATTTATTTTTTAATGAGGCACCTAATTTCGTATCTTATGTAACTGGCAGGAAATTGTTGCTCAAAGTTGGTTTGTGTACACAAAAGACAGTCAACAAGATCCACAAGAATTTCTTAATTTCTTGTTGACTGCAATTCATGGCGAGATCTTGGTATGTATGCTGCTGCAAATAATGTGGGGAACGTTGATATTTTTTCATTACTGTTATTTAATTGTTTCAGGAGAAGCATGGCGTTGAATTCCAGGCAAGTTTCTGTGACAGCACTGACATTGTGGAGGCAGTCAGCCAGGCTTGGAACCTTGGTGAGAGGTCCAAGGTATCTGAGGTCTTTGGTATCCAGTGTGTACGCCTGAGCCAGTGTCAGTGTGGCTACACAAATGGTGTCTGTGACAACCCTGAGTTCATCGTATCTCTTGCTCTTCCTTCAGGGAAAAAATGCACCCTAATGGTACTACTCTGACAGTCATCATTTCATAATCACATCTACATTTTACTACAGTAGTTAATTGTCATTCTGCCTGTCACAGGATTGCTTCAAACTTTTCTGTGAGGAGAACAGGGGCCCTTGCGAAAAATGTAAAGGTGTTGCCACTTATAAAAGCATTGTAAGATTTGGAAGGCTACCACCAGTTTTAGTGATTCAGTTAAAAAGGTAAATATTAGTGGAATAGAATTTGTCCATCTGTAAGTCATCTATGAATTTTGGCCATGTATTCTAAGGATTTAGTGTGTGAAAATTTGTAGTTGTTTTGAGTGTGTCATGGATATGTATTTTGGTTACGTTCACTTCTGTGCGCTTTCTGCTTATCATGGGTAAGGTTCCCACTCTATCAATGCATGTTTCTAATGTGACTGCAGATATGGACCAACTTTGTATGGCTTCTTCAAAAACAACTCAGAAGTATTGTACGACCACAACATAGACTTGGCAGAGTTTGCTATTGACAGTGCTCAGACTAATACGGAGTACTCCTTGTTTGCTGTGACCAGTCACACCGGCCAGATGGGGGCTGGCCATGTGATCGCAGCATGTCTCAGGAACAATCGGTATTTTTTTTTTGGTGATTTGTTTAAAATTCTTCATTTCTTCTCATACTCTCTTGATCTTTTTCATTTCTGGAATGGTCCTGTCCTTTTACTTCATTCATTTTCTAACATTTTTTTTTTTGATGTGGTTGCCTTTACTTAGATGGTACAACTTTGATGACGAGCATGTCAGTTCCACATCTGCAAAGAGAGTAGTGAGCAACTCTGCTTACTTGTTGTGGTATCAGTTGGAGTTGAAGGTTGACTCAGGCACTCACCCATTTGATGCGGAGACAGCAGCTATAATTAAAAACCTTAACCAACCCTCTTCAAAAAATACATCTAAAAACATTAGCAAAAATAAGGGTGACCAACAACAATTGCCAGGCAAATCTGCCCAGAGGCCAGTACCACCGAAAAAAAAATTTGAAAAGGAAAATCCAACCCACACCTGTACAGGCTCCTCCCATTTCGGTGGCTGCTAGAAAAAAGTCAAAGTGCTCTACGCAGCCCCTTAAGACGAGTGACACTAATGAAGCTGACACTGAGCAGCAGGTCCCCCTTAACAAAACATTGGAGGAAAATGAGCAAGCAGTGCCCAATCATGGTTTTAAACTGAACCCTCTACCTGTGTCTTTGAGAAAAACACTAGTGACTCATCCTTCGTTACTGCCCACAGCATCGGCTGCACTCGCAGATGATATGATCCCAAACTTTGACTTCACAGACCCAAAGGTTTCTACCTCCAATTTTCTTTGTTGCACAGCTCAAAGATTTTAACTTTTTTTTTCTTTTGACGCTAATTTGTCTTTTCCTTTTTCAGCCTAGCAGTGACAGCATCACAGACACAAAGTGTAATCATGCCAGACATGATCTGAATACATATGATCCCATCATCCTGGAAGAGGACATACCAGGCGCTGTCTTGGATTATTCTAACCTGGAGAAATACACACTGAAGGTTTTAGAGAGATGGTGCCGAATGAGACGTTTGCCATTACATGATGGCAACAAGGCTGACATCATTAAAATGTAAGATTTGCAATATTTATAATTATCTGTGAAAGGTAATAAGAATTTTTAGGATTGTCATAAACATTCACTATTGCAGAATATCAGATCACCATAAAATGGGGAAGTCCTCCCTCATATACCCAGGTTTTGATGAAGGAAGATTTCACAGAGCAAAGAGAGACAAACTTGTGGTACTGGTCTTCACATTTCCCACCCCCTCCCCATTATTAATAGGCCATTCCGCTGGTTGGAAAAGAAGAAGTAAAGAAGCACAAAACCGGATCCGGATACGGTCGGATCTGCTGCTTGGCTTCCGGCGGGTATGAGAAATCGGGGTGCGGGTGTAGCGAGCGGCGTAGTTCTGTGTTATTAGTGTAAACGAAGAGATATTGTGACATATATATATATATTTTCTTGAAGAAAAATTTCTACTGATTTCATTGGTAAGGAATTAAGAGATGTTTTCGATTAAAATTTGAAGTGAAATACGCTTGTATGGTCAAATATGGGGACCGGGAGTGACATAACCCCTACAACCCGGTCTCTCTTTTTCTTATTACATTGAACACACGCATTGGCAACTCCTTATATCAATGAATTTAATAAATTAAACCATCCATTTAAGATATTTTGTCGAAAAAAGTCATTGTTTCATTCAGTTTTGAGTCTTAGTGTCATCGTTCCCAACTTGCATCTCGGAACTTTTTTGAACTTATCCTTTTTACTGCTTACTCACTGGTTCTATGCCATGACATGTATGGAGCGTCTCTTAAATACTGTAACTTACATTTTCTCATGCTTGCCCTATTTTTGCTTTTCACACCTGTACTGTTTCAGCTCGGTTGTGATAAGGACGATATGTAAAAGGTAAGCAGCCTTTCTCTTTATGAATGACTAAAGTTATGTGAAAGTCTCTGTAGTGCTGAAGTCAAATGTTTCTCTTTCATTTGTTTGTAGCGCAAGATGTGGTTCAACTGTGACCCTCCCAATCCAACTCGAATCTTGTATCAGAACGATGTGGCTGTCACATGGCAGGGCGTCACACCTGTGTATGGAGGCCTCGTGAACCTTAACAACTCCTGCTTCTTAAATGCCTCTGTACAAGTGAGTTTCAAGATTTTTCTAAGTTTTTTTCGTTATAGTTCTTTCAATGTTGTCTGTAACTAACGTTTATTCTATCAGGCTCTGATGCACCTCCCAGGCTTTGTCAAGTTTCTGGCGGAAGACATAGCTCATCGGAAGGGCTGCTTCACTCTTCTGAACTGTGTGGTGTGTGCTCTGAACCGCACCCACCTGAACATGAGTCTTCATGCTGCCTTTCGACCCATAGGCCTTCTCAATCTCTTGCCTAGTAAGTTTGCCAGTTATTTTTTGGTGTTGTGTACCTAGGGTCACTTGTCTTAATCGGTGGTATTATAACTTTAGAACTGAGTCCTCTGCTCAAAAGAGGAAGGCAAGAGGATGCAGACGAATTTATTGTTGCTCTGTTAGATAAAGTAACAGAAGAATTAATTCTAAGGGAAGGTGGCCCAGCCAAGTAAGTGTCAAATGCACATAATTTTCGTACTGCCAATGTAGAGACCTCTAGTAATAATGATCTCGTTACAGTGTGGATTTCTGTTCGAGGCAAACAACAGCTGTGGGGCAAATATTTGGCTGGTGGTCAAGAACAGAAGGTAAGTAAGTGTGTGATCTTGGGATTGTTCTCTGTAGTGCATTACTAGTTAATATTAAAATGATTTCATGAATTTTTTCAGGTAAATGTGGAGACTGTTCTACCAGCACATTAACATATGCCCCACAAACAAGTTTATCTTTGCCTTTAGATGACAGTGTGCAGTCAGCAATCAATGTGCGATTGAAGGAAGTAGAAATAGTTGAAGACTTCACATGCATTAGAAAGTGCCTCAAGCGTGTTGCCTTTCAGACTGTAGACTTCTACAGTTACCCCAAAGTACTTCGAATTGTACTCAATAGGTCAATACACTCACATTGTTATGTCTTTGCCTGAAGCATGTTGAGTATAAAATGTGTCATCATTATTTTCTGTAATTTACAGATTTGACAATGATAGTTATAAGAGAAGCCAACCTGTATCTGTAGAAAAGTCTATTGTCATAGGAGATGCAACATATTCCTTTGTGAGTTGTGTATTACATGATGGGAATACAGCTACTGAAGGCCATTACACCTGCCTTGCTACTAGACATGATGGCAAACTTGTGTTCATAAATGATGCTGAGGTAATATTTGATAATTTGAAAGTGGTTCTGCGTTGAAGTTTGTATTTGTGTCCACACTAATGAAGTGTTGCTTCAAATTTCTTTCTTTTTTTAGATCTCAGAGGCAAAGGGATTATTTGGACTTAATTCCCCAAAATGTAAACGTGAGGTGTATGTACTGTTTTATCAGTTTCATCATATGAAGGCAAGGCATACATTTAATACAATTTTCATTCCAAAAAATGGATGTGCAAGGGAATTGTATTTAACTAATTTCTCTCATTTTCGTAGGTTCACTCCATTAAACGAGCTCTTGCAAAAACTCCCTCTAATGCCCTGAGCCCCCTCAGGAAGAAGATTCATTCTTCACCCATGAAAAGGTCTCTTGAAAAAAGGGGTAAAAAACTAACTTTCTCTCCAAAGAAATTCAAGAGAAAAGTGGGGTCTCTCATGCATAGCATTTTGCCATCTAAACCCAAGCTTTTCAAAGGAGATGACATCTTAGCCAAGGTACTGCAGTATAGTGTTGATTTCAGACAATTATAATTTTATTCTGTACTTAAATTACTTCTGTTCTTGCATTGATAGCCACTTCCTGAGAAGAAGGAATCTTGGATAATGAAGTTAGCATGTAACCGGGGAATGTCTGATGAAGAGGTACGGAATATTCTGAAATACGATTTACCCCATTTTGCTAAAAGTGACACAAGTGTCTTTCTCCCCAATCATAGGAATTAGGAACAACGGAAGCAGCTGTAAAAGAGGGAAAGACTGTTGCGCCAATTGTTGTGCAGAGGAGGAGGAAACTTGTACCTCCTTCAACTTCATCGCAATCAAGTAACGATTACAGAGTAATTGAGAAAGGAGATGAAGAAAAGGTACATTGCTGTAATTCCACCTTCTGCTCCCCCTCTTCTTAAAAATATGTCATTTAAAACTTTTATTTTGTCCACCTATCAGTCTGAGACTACGGAGACAGCCGTAGTGACCCCCATCAAAATACTAAAGAGACCTGCAGGAACTTCATCCCATCCACCTGATCAGAGAAGCATAATTACAGAAGGTGACGAAGACAAGGTGAATTTCATCATTACCACGTAACGCTCTGGTTGCATTTACATTCCCTCAAATTTAAAATATAAATTTATTTACATTTTCATTGCAGCAATCTGATACAACAATGACAGCCACCTTGACCCCTATTAAACTGCAGCTGAAACAATCTGAATCTACTTCAAGGACTGCTGCCTTCAATTTTTCAGAGGAGTGCCCTGACAGTCAAGCAGGAAATAGTATATGCACAGTAAGTCTGCCTCAGCTTCACAAATGAATCAATGTATTTCTCTTTTACCAACTAAGTTAATTTTGCTGTGTTAGGAGCCAGAAATGTTAACAGGTTCACCTGAACCGGGAAACATGTGGAGAACGCAGGAGTTGAAGAACCTATTTGGTTCTGAGTATGGGAATTCAGACCAACATAAGAAGCCACTGCAGTCATTGCGTAACAGCGCAAAGGTACTGGGTGTCATAATATTGGAATGTGTATAATCATTTTTAAACAATGGAAGCTTATCCCTTTTATTTGCATAGGAAAAGAACCAACTTGAAGCTGAAGTCGATACCTGCCATCATGCAGACATTCCTTACGTCTGCAGTGACATTCCAAGTACTGACAGTGACAATCAAGATTGTCACAACAATGCTTGTGCATCTGAAAACCTTGGCGTCAGTTTCTCTTTTTTACGTTGGTGGTATTCCTATACTATTACTCTCTAACACTTTGTTCCCATTCCTCATTTTCATGTTTCAGGAGTATGTGTCCCTTCACAATGTACCAAAATTTATGCTGCCTAATGATAAACTCGAGAAAAATACAGTGGTTCAGCTACAAAATTATCTAAAGTCAAGAAAAATATTACCTGTACCTAGATTAAAGGCTGATCTCATTGCCAAGTAAGTTTCTCCCTCAGCCTTGAAAATATGTCCTTTTGTCACTTTATTGTGGAATTTTTTTTTTCTAATTCTTCAGGGTAAAAGAGGTCATGGCTTTAGAACCTGCTCCTGTATCTAAGCCCAATGTTTGCAATAAAAAGCAGCAAAGACTGGTGCTAACAAAGGTACTTACGGAAAGATTTTTAAAAAATAACTGAAGCAAATAATAGTTTCCTGTTTTCTAACATCTTCTTTTCCTCAGGATGTTGCCCAACTACCTGATGATGATGTTTTCCCTCCTACTGGTTGGGAGGTTTTCCCTAGTAGAGATATGCCAAGCAATTTCAATTTTGGGAGTGTGTTCAACTACATAGTGGAGACAATGCCTCAGTTGCCAGACCCTGCCAGTAATACTCCTTTGGCAGATTCATCGGATGAAGAGGACATTGCAGAAAATGTAGTAATTATTAATGACCCCTTCGAAGATGCTGAGCAGACTGAGATCAAATGCAGTAAAAAACTAAGAAGAGGCTTGCAGTATGTAAAAAGTAAATATGTGAGAAATGTACATGATTGCTTACCAGACAGATTGCATTGCTACAAGGGACAAGTACGTGCTTCCATGTCGAAGGTAGCCTATCATGTCAAAGTTGCAATTTTTCAAGTTTCTGGTTCTGTGGTGAAGGCCTCATGCCACTGTGGTGCCCACACAATGCAAAGGTGCAGTCACATCAGTGCACTGTTGCTGTATTTATTACTCCATAAAAACCTGAATGGTCCTAAAGGTGAGTGGACACTTTTATTTCCATTTACGATAAGTTTAATTCATTGAATTTTCTTTCATGAGATTGGGAAGTTTCCTCCTGGCACCTCTTGGGTTCATCACTTTTGTTCCTGGCAGTGTAAGTGTTGGCATCCGAAGCAGGTCTTGTATTTTTCGATACTGTGTTGGTCGGTGTGATGTTTCATACTTTGGTCTGGATTTTTGGCTTTTGCAACTGACATTTTTCTCACAAATTCTGTGACCTATGAACACCAACCTATTTCGTACAAAAAACTTTTGGGGAAGTGGGAGCATCCTATTGGTCTTGCCTTTCCTAACACAGTTTCATAGTTGCATCCTAATTCTTACGTCACTTCTCACATGTATTCTATTTTAGTATTTATATCTCTGCAGTTTCACTTGATAGTTGCATGAATTATTTTTCTCGTAGTAATGGATTGGTAGTGGTAGGTGGCTGAGGTATATTTTTTTAAAAATAAGCAGCAGATAAAGGTGAATATTACCTTAGTAACAAATTTAATAATCAAAGACATCCTGATACGATTACAGGGTAGTAACATTGAATTGACAATAAAATATATGCAATACACAGAACGTTTTTCAGCCTTCAATCCTATCAGGGTCATCCGGATCATCAGGGTTAACGCCAGAATCAGGAGGAGCACTTTGAGGCTTGCTGGCTCTCAGAGTCTTGTTGAGGATGCGTGATTTATTGAAGTTCCTGAGGTATGCTGCTATATACACCAAGTCAGAGAGCACTGGAAGCATAGACAGGGGAATGATACCTTGAAGCAGGCGGTTGTCTTTGATGTCTGCCATTGTGTGCTCAGTGTAGATACGAGCAGCTGCTATGGCTTTTGTCACAATCTCTTCCTCTCCTGTGAGGGGTTCATTTGCAGACTTGGAAGGAGGCTTGAAAAATTCACAACCTATTGCCTTTAGCTCAGCAGTGAGCTCATAGCCTCTATCAGTCATTACGGCATCACCGGGAGATAAGCGGCTCAGTAAGTCACTATGTAGTATCACTTCTTTGTCAGACATGTTGCCCTCCATTCCCTCAGTACAAAACATAGTAGCTCCATTACATGATATTCCTACTGAAAACAATACCACATTGTGGCGTTTATACTTAGAGTAGGTGTTGCCTTGTTGTTCAAAGTTTGAAGGCATCTCAGTAAAAAATGACACACCATCAATCAAAATTCTAAGATTCTCAAATGGTTTCATTTTATCAGGCTTGTTTTTTCTCTGCTCTTCTGCAGTAGGGAACATTTCCTTTTCGATATCTTTCAAAGATAAATAAATCAATCTTGTCATGGCGTAGCAAAGTTCACCAGCCCAGGAAACACTGCAATTAAACATGGCACTAAGTTCCTCCAGTGGGTATCCTCTTCTTAATCTAAGGAGGAACATGAACAATTTGTCTCTGCAGTTTATTTTTGATGGTCTTAATCTCACTCTCTCTTTGACTGAATATTTGAATTGTAATTTAGAAATCACTGGGAAACCTCCAATAAAATTATACAAAACTTCAAAATCTTCAACGCTTAAGCCAGTGAAAAATTTGAACTTCTTATCATATCTGCAAGTCTCATATGTGTAATAAGGCAATGTTTGGGTGCCTCTGTCAACCATTTGCACCTGAAAAAGAAAAAAAATTAAGGCTTAAAATAACAAAGCATTTTATGTAATAAGGAAGCTACAATAGTTCCATACTAACTTTTCTGGATTTATTTGCTTCTGAAACCTACAGAAACAAAAGAAAATAAAATGCTTGCATTAGTCAAGGAACATCATCTTATTTTGAAAATGAAAATTCTCACAAACTTACTGTAGTTTCTAGTTCACTGGGGTCGTCAACCATTTCTTCATCTGATAGATCCAGTCCTTCTAGTTGTTTAGACACCTGTAACATAGGAATGATTGCGTTGTTAAAATTCTTTCCTTCATTTCAATGAACCCATATAAGAATATTGTGCTCTTTCAAAGTACTCTTCAATTCAAATTTGTATTCTTCCAAACCAAAAGTAATGGCAATAAAAAACTGACAAAAAGTGTACATAATATGTGCATGATTTAGAAAAGATTACATGATTGCGTGCTTGCATTAATTATTGTGTTGTCTTTTGCAGCCATCACCTGCACTTCATTGCCTAACGTATGGAATGTTGGGTCTCTACAACGTCAACCAGGCTTCTCCAAGTCAAGACAATATGATTCTGTGAAGCGTGATTTCTTGCGACGTGCCACATTTGATCCCAGACCTGCCATTGAACTGGAAGGACGTACAAGCCACATGAACTTCATGTATCTCCTGAGTCAGCTCAGCTACAAGAAAGAACCCTCTCTCTTCCAGCAGCTTGGATCCTTAACATATGAAGACTTCGCATATGATGAAAGTGACCGTGAAATAATCAGGACTAATGTTGGACTCCTGTTCACTGCACTGGAGGAGCAAGTTAATAACCTGAAACCATCACCAGCATTCACTGGACCTTTCGAACTTGCAGGGACAAGAGGTCAAAGCTCGACAGATCTGTGGAGTCGAGTTCGATCCCTGCAATGCTCTGCCCAGCCAAGCCGGCGCATTAATCGATTTAAGACAGAGTCAGCCCGTACAAATTTTCTCAGACACCACTTGTGGGGTATAGGAAACATTACGACCAAGGCTATGAAATATGGAAAGAAGCACGAATCTACCGCTAGGAGAAAGTACCAAGAGGAACAACAGCTCATAGACCCGTCAGTTGTTGTGGAGGAGAGTGGCATGTTTCTCCACACACAACACATAGGTCTTTCTTGCAGCCCAGATGGGTTGCGGAAATCTCAAAATGATCCCTGCAGGCTGGTAGAAATTAAGGTGCTATACAGCCTCAGAGATCATGACCCCGCTGAATTTGACACCCATCTGACTGCGGAAAAATTATCCAATTTCTGTTTGGAAAGAAATTCTACAGGGGAGGCTCAGCTGAAGAAAAATCATGCATACTATGATCAGGTGCAGTTTTGTATGGGCCTGCTGCAGTTACAAGCTTGTGATTTTGTTGTGTGGACCCCTCAGAATATGATGACTTTCCATATTCCATTCAATGAAGAGAGGTGGTTGGAACTGCGAAAATCATCACTGGAGTTCCATAAAGAATATCTTCTCCCAGAGTACTTTGCAAAGCGCACACCCCGCAAACTATGCCCTATAAGACTTGAATAATTTTTAAGACTAAATTTTATATGTTGACTATGTTAAGGACAAGTATTATATTATTTAAGTTTTTGAAAATTATAGATGTTATTTTTAAAATTATTTTAACATTTGCTCTGTTATCTACTTCTGATTTTTTATGTAATACTTTTTCTATATTGTATACCTGTCCTGTTGAGCTGGTGCCGCTTGTGTTCAAGTTTTTCCTCTTTTGTTGTTCCTAAAAGAAAAGAAAAATTTTTCACTGCATTTCCTTTTTTAAAAATTAATCTAAGCAGAATAGATCTGCGTCTGATTTTAATACACAAAAATATTTCATAATTACTTGTAGAGTCTTTTTCTTACCTCTAGTAACCACTCATTTGCCACCTCCTTCTTTTCATAAATTAATGTCAGTTTGGGTTGTGCAATAAACGGAGACATGAAGAGGTTTGATATAGACAAAGGTTCAATCTGAAAGAATATGAAGTGTTACACACTGTTTTTGGCGAAAAAGCCAAGTTATTTTTGGACCAGCTTACCTTGGTGTCATTAAATCGCCGACAACGACCATCAGGGCACACAGCAATGAACACTGCATTGTCATTTGTTCCACTTGGTTCAGACATCATTGATCTCAATTCAAAATGTTCCCCCTTGATTTTAATCTGCAGAGGTGGTGTAGTCTCTGCAGGGTGCCTGTAACAATAATTCCATGCAACAAAAGAAACTGAAATGAAAAGAACTTGTTTTGCAAGTACTTAATACTTACACTAGGTGCACAACGAAGCTCTCAGCAAGTCTGGTGGTATTCAAGGGAGTCCAATCTGCTGTAGCTCGACAACACTGAGTGCAGATGTCTCTCTTACTTCGCTCCAAAGCATCTTCAATAGCCACACGAAAGTCATACACAATAGACTCCAAATAGAGTGTGGACAATTGCTGGTTAATGTCGTACTGTCCACACGAACACCAAACTGTAAAATACACATTGCATTATCGCAATTAAATTCCAATTTTACCACAAAGTTAATTAAAGAGGAATGATGTTACCTCGGTATGAGATGTCAGACTTCCACATTAGTGAGATGGGAGACATATGTAAATATTTGAAGCTGTAAAAATTTTTAAAGTGAAAGTTTCAACAAGTTGGAAGCACATAGTTAAATAACAAAATTCTAGACTTACTCATCATTTCTGTCAACCTGTTCAAATCGTAATTTATCTATGAAAATCTCAAGCACTTTCAATGGGCTGGACCTATCTGCAGCACTCATCATCTTGGATACATCTGTAATTAAAAATATTTGAAGGATAAAATTTTGACATCATGGGAAACTGAAAGCAACTATGATATGCTCACCATTCCACTTATGGACAAATGTAGTCGGATTTCCTATCCCACGTTTTTCAATTTCATCGTACAGCTTGAAGAGGGCACAGCACATGCACAGTAGGGACTTGCATGATTCTCTATGTTCGAGGTCGTCGAGAATGAAGTCAACCATTGCGGAACAGTGGAGGAGTGCCTGTAGAGAGGAACATTTAATAAAATGCCAGCACTGATATAGACTAGGGGTACGCGCCGTTCAGTCTGGGCGCGTAGTGTGGCTGAGCGATGCGAATGGACATTTTTTGTGCACTTTGGACTTTGCTTGAGTAGACGAAATGTCCATCTTATGGGCTCATATTCAGTGAACTTAAGACCAGGGGCACAAATGGAAGTGATTTTCGTTATCAGAACACCAAAAACTGCTGGAATCAATGTCAAACTCGATTTAAAAATTTTGGTCCAAAATTGGTCAAAATTCGGTTAAATATGAGTCTGGGAAAAGTTTGAAGGTCATTTTTGAGTTCAGCACACCAAAAACTGCAGGAAACAATGTAAAACTCGACATGAAAATTTTGGTCCAAAATGATCTAATTTGCGATGAAAATATAAGTCTGAAGTCGAAATGAAAGTGATTTTCGTTATCAGCACACCAAAAACTGCTGGGATCAACGTAAAATCGATTTAAAAATTTTGGTCCAAAATTGGTTAAAATTCGGGTAAGTGTGAGTCTGGGAAAATTTTGGAAGTCTTTTTTGAGTTCAGCACACAAAAAACTGCAGGAAACAATATAAAATTTGACTTGAAATTTTTGGTCCAAAATGACCTAAAATGGGATGAAAATATAGGTCTGGTGTTAAAATTGCCCCAAATTGCGTAGCTCTAGATGAAAATGTAGGATTGGCATTGAAATAAATGTAGTTTTTGTTGCCAGTACACTGCAAACTACATACAATACTTTAGACTCAATTTCTGTATATTGTTCCTATTTGTCTTCATGAAGCACCCTCTGCCGTCACCAATTCCCTGATGCCACACCAAGGCGAATCCCTGAGTCGAGTAAAATTCAATTGCCAGCTTTGAATCGCTTAATTGGCTACTCGTATGCTTGGGTCACTATTCGATAACTCTTTTTTCTTAACTAATGAACTCACAATTTTATAAGTTATTTTTATGAAACATTTTGTCATTCTTTCATTGTGAAGCAGTGAATAAAACAATATTGATTGGAACATGTTATCACAGTAAATATTAAGAGAGTCAGTTTAGGGTAGGCTGATCAAAACCAGTTAACGGGGACCAATTATTGTCAAATCCAGTGATTCGTCACATAGAGTCCAACCCCAAAGGCTACCCAAGGCTTAATGAACCGACATAATTTATCTTACTCATGTAAACAATACTGAGTAGTACCAGTTATATTAACTTCGGTGAAGTTAAAGGAATCGTCTCACTAAATCCAATCACCAATTCACTCACCGCTAAAAACCTGAGTCGTCTCTTTGAAACCAATATCAATTTAAACTCTATTAGGATTAAATATACACAACCATACATTGATTCTATTAATAAACTCATGTTAGTGCTTTTGTACTCTTGTCAGCTTGCAGCATTGCAATAGAATAAATTTCTCGAGTCCAAACTAAGTATGCCTGCCAATTTCAACACAAGTTATTTATGCATTTCCCTGTTTTTCCTCTAGTTTGAAAATTTTAAAAAGAGGATGACACTAGAATGAAATAAAAAGATGCACACAATACAAAAGGTCAAAAAAAAAACATCCTTTTTACAATGCTTTGTCAAAAGTGCACTGACCTGAAGATGATTCCCCTCTGACAGAGGAGGGGGGAGAGGGGAACGAAACACGTAAAACATTTTCGAATCCATTCTCCATATTTCGCTGTGTTGGTGTTCCAAAAGGGTTTTAATCATTCTAGAATGTTGAAAAACTAAGGCCGATCTCATTTCCAAACCCTTCTGCTCTTTATTTAGTTTTATTTGCTTATTTGCTTGAGTCCCGTATTTGAGAGCCGCGGACCCGCAGGTATGAGAAATTGGTAAGCGCTGCTGCCTCGCTGCCAACCTAACCACGCTAATGACCTGATTCAAAAATATGTTTTGATTATTCCAAACGATACTAAACAACGATTTGAAACAAACTCGTGTTGGGGGGTACTAAGGCGACGTTAAATACGAAATCTTGAAACTATAGCCACTGTAGTTGCTGAGAATCGTTGGTGAGTACAAACAGACAGACGCACGACCAGTCACTTTTCAGCGCGCCCAAACACGGCAAGGGCTTCGCTATCGCTCAGCCAATAAGAAAGAGAACTACATGTTTATTTGCATAAACTCACCTGAACAGCAGCAAGAACATGAGGTGCATTCCTGGTATTTGTGAGACCCCCATCAATGTGTTTCGGCATGTTGACTGTTTGCAACCGAGCTGAAACAGTACAGGTGTGAAAGCAAAAATAGGGCAAGCATGAGAAAATGTAAGTTACAGTATTTAAGAGACGCTCCATACATGTCATGGCATAGAACCAGTGAGTAAGCAGTAAAAAGGATAAGTTCAAAAAAGTTCCGAGATGCAAGTTGGGAACGATGACACTAAGACTCAAAACTGAATGAAACAATGACTTTTTTCGACAAAATATCTTAAATGGATGGTTTAATTTATTAAATTCATTGATATAAGGAGTTGCCAATGCGTGTGTTCAATGTAATAAGAAAAAGAGAGACCGGGTTGTAGGGGTTATGTCACTCCCGGTCCCCATATTTGACCATACAAGCGTATTTCACTTCAAATTTTAATCGAAAACATCTCTTAATTCCTTACCAATGAAATCAGTAGAAATTTTTCTTCAAGAAAAAAATTTTATATATGTCACAATATCTCTTCGTTTACACTAATAACACAGAACTACGCCGCTCGCTACACCCGCACCCCGATTTCTCATACCCGCCGGAAGCCAAGCAGCAGATCCGACCGTATCCGGATCCGGTTTTGTGCTTCTTTACTTCTTCTTTTCCAACCAGCGGAATGGCCTATTTATTTTCATGTACTAATTTTTTTGCTCCTTTTTCAGGGTAAAATTCCCATCAACCAACGATTGCCAATCGTTCCTGTGGGTCAGAAGTGTTGGCAACCCTTTCCCAGTGTCAGACTGCCCAAAAACTTAGATTATCAGTCCATTGTGAGGTATTTTGAAGATATCCCGCATTGTGACTTTTCGTATCGAGAAGGGGTTGTTCTTGGATCACCTTCCTCTCCTCAACTTCACAATGACAGTACAGACGAGGAAGGGGACAACGACAGTGCAGAGGAAGATGATCCCGGCATGTCCTTCACTGACCTTTGTCGAAGGGCAGTCAAGAAGGCACTGCAGCGTGGGGAGCTGTTCCTCACAAGTGGTCGGGTAGGAGCTGTGCTTGATACTGAAAGAGACAACCATCACTTCATAAAAGCACAGGTTCATGCTTCAATGAAACAGATACTCTACCTAGTCCTTATTATTTTCGATAAGGAGGGAAATATATGCAATGCCTCTTGTGCATGTAAGACTGCTGCTTTGCAACGCTGTGGACACATAGCAGCAGTTATGCTTCTTGTGTGGAACCACATCAAGAAAGAAGGACATGAAGGTAAATATCTTACAAATTTATTCACAAAAATTGATTGATGTAGTTCAGTCGGTACATTCCAATCAGTACAATTATTACCGAGATAAATATATGTATGAGAATGCAACAGTTAAAAATCAATTTACACAAGTCCATTGATGTAGTTCAGTCATTGCATTCAAATAAGTTGCAGTAGGTTTCACATTTTATCAACTTGTGATTTCTTTTTCCTCTTCTCCTTTTTCTTGGTATTCCAATTGATGAAAGGTTCTTCAAAATTTACTAAATTAGCACATACTCGCACAACATCGGACAATATGTCTATCATGGTATTGGGCACAACATTTCTGATTAGCTTGAAGAACTTCACTCTTCCTATGAAAGTTTCGACATGAATCCGAGCGCCTGCTACACATTTAGACAAAAGAATTTCCCTCTCAGTGAATGTGGTTCGGTGGTCTCCAAGGAATGCTGGTATTAGAATGTCAACTCCAATATCATTCAGATCTTCCTCCATATCAAATCCTCTGTCGCACATTACAGCCTCCCCAGGTTTCAAATATTTCATTATTCCGGACTTCAGAAACAGTTGTCTGTCTGTAATGACACCCTCCATCCCTTCACTTGCGAAGGATAATCCACCATACAAAGAGGTGGCAAACAAAAATTTGACAATATTGTGGGCTTTGTATTTAGAAAAAGAATGGCTTTGTTGATCCATGTTGGATGGCTTCTGAATTTTGATATCCGTTGAATCCACAACACATCGTAAGTTTGGGAATGGAGCATAGCAGTCTGGCTTATTTTTCTCTTGGGCTGGGACACTTACAAATATTGCGTCCTCCATTGACTTGAAGACTTCAGATAGGGTTCTTACCCAAGCGGTAAAAATGTTACTGATAGTACTTTCAGGTAGATTGAAAAACATCTTCATTTCACGCAGAGAATATCCTCTTCTCAAGCGCACTAGAGTGAGGAATAACTTATCCCTGACTGAATGTGAAGCATACAACTCTCTTTGGGGAGTTTTTGCATCATGCCTGTACTTCATTTTCTTGTTCGTTTCCCCTCCCACCAATTCAAACAGGATTTCGAATGCTTTTCTACTGATCCCTGTGAAGTAATGGAAATCATCATCATTCCATTGTTTGCTCCGGTCATAGGAGAATGTTGCCATGTCACTTTGAATTCCGATTGTTCGTTTCAAAACAGGTTCAGAAGCTTCCTCCGTCCCATGTGCTGATTCCTCTTCTTCCTCTTCTGTGATCTGCTCCTCCATTGGCTTCGCCCTCTGTGAAGACAAAAATAAAAGAAATTAGATATTAGTAATTTTATATTCGTTTGTTTTTTTTTGTTTCAGCCATTACAACTACGGGAAGAGAATGTTATTGGAGAGAGGCTGCCCCAGGGCGTGACCCTGGATTTGTCTCCATCAAGCAGTACTCTTCACATAGAAAAATAGATAGAAGAAATACTTTCGACTACCGGGCCACAGAGTTTCAAAAAAAGGGCACCATGTCGCTAGATGATCTAAAGAAATTTCGGAACCACCTAAAAGAAGATTTATCTTCATCACTGTTCATGCACCACATTGGGCCCCTGTTCGACATAGAAGAGGAATGTGATGGGCTTGACAATGTGACTGAAAACTGCTCTGAAGCAGTTGAACATTGCTACGAAATGTTGGCAAAACTGTCTGAGGTTTGTGAAGGTAAGACTGAACCTTTCGAACTGCCGAGCACAAGTGGACAAGATCGAAGTGAGAGGTGGATGGATGAGCGTGCTATCAGGTGCACTGCAAGCGATTGCAGAACTTTCCTTGGCCTGACCACAGATAAGGCAAAAATAAATTATCTCAGAAGGAAAGTTTGGAATTTGGACCGATTCGAAACAGAAGCTATGAGGCAGGGTAAATTATATGAAGATGGTGCAAGGAGACGGTATCAAGAGGACCTGAGGGATACACTCAGCGGGAATATGGATTTGACAATAGAGGAAAAAGGGTCAATCGTCAATCCAAAGTACCCTACTTTGTCATGCAGCCCTGATGGCATAATCCATGTACCCACAATTGATGGTGACTTTAGGATACTTTTTGAGGCAAAGTTCCTCATGAGCGGACATGTTCACCCAGACAAATTTGAAGAAACCATGACTGAGGAACAGATCAAACGCTTCTATCTGAAGAGAAACAATCAAGGTCTCATTGATCTTAAACAAAGCAGCAGACATTATTATCAAATTCAAATGGGCCTGGACATTTTGGAGCTTGAATGGTGTCATTTGATGGTTTATTCTGCCTCAGGGTACACCATAGTGCCAGTACGGTATAATCGTTTTTTCTGGAATGAGAAGAGAATAAGACTAATTCTAAGGCACCGTGAACTCTTGCTTCCTGAATTTTTCCTGAAGAGAACTAAACGGCATTTGGCACCCATTGAATTAATTTATGACTACCCTTCTGTGCAGCCTGCAAAGAAAATCGTAATTTTTGACAGAATGGACAAGACTGCAAGAATTATTGAAGATGATGAAGATCTCAGTGGTGAAGATGTTGGCAGTGGTGATGTAGATTAAGTTTTTGGTTGAAGTTGCTTACTGAGAGTAAGAAACAGATGCCATCACAAAGTATGTGTTTGATCTCTCTAATCTTGACTGTGAGTTTGCAGTTCCTATTGTTTTTATTCTTTAAGTATGCTCTGAAACTTAAGACTAAGTTTGTTTCTCCTAGAATTTTTTTATTTCTGACAAAACTTGTTGCTATTGATTTTATTTGTGATAAAGATTTGAAATATGTTAGGAGATCCTATTGATTTTATTTGTTTGTTGCTACTATTAATGTTATTTTTGATGCCTCTTGCAATAATTTTTCTTGTTCTCATTCGCTTTACTACGAATGCAGGTCAAAAGAAATTTTCTTCTTCAAAGTGGTATGATTGTAGATTTGATACAAGTTTCCTGCTCCTATTTATTTCACTTGTGATAAAAAATTAAGAATTTTTGTAATACCAGTCTTATACTTACGAAAGGTTTTACAAGTACAGGTACTAGTGATTGGAGTTGATTTCAGCTGTGATGAAGCTTTAAAATAAGATTGTTGCCATGATGTTGCTCCAGTTTGGGAGTAACTTGCAATATGTGGTAATTTTTTAAATTAGATTTTTAGTCCATATTTCATTATTGTGAGTCATCAATAATTTTGTTTACTGTGTGCATACACTTTTCTAACTTTCCAATTATTTTTTTTTAATAACAGAATACAGCTTATTATTGGTTGTGGATGCTTACCTCGTTATTTGTCACCTTCACTTCCGACTCCCTCCATTGTTTATTAAGTTTGAAGCGCAGTTCAGTCATATCATTCTCCACATTTTCTTGTGAGGGATTGGGCGAACCTTCAAATGAGTTGGGAAGTGATGCGGCCAGGCTGCTGAAAGAACCTCCAGTTCCACCAGGACGAATAACGGAAAAGTTGCTCTGAGGAGAATATGCATCGACATCCTGCAATACAGTTTCACTTAGCTCATTGATAACTTTCACACAGATTCCGTTCATTAATTAACATCCTCAATATGAGCATACCATCATCTGATTGGGTGTTTTACACACTGGACCGGCTGATGATTTGTTGACTTCTGCCACATCAACACTTGGATCATCAACATCTGCATCCAGCTCCTCAAAGCACTGAATAGAAAGATATTAATTGAAATTTCATTCATTACATAAACTGACTCATTATGTTCATGTACACACATTCAATGGAGGATCTTCAATCGGAGGTGAAAGGGTTGACACCATTTTCGCACGAGGCAGGCTCTTGGCGTTTGGAGTGTCACCAGCAGGGTCAGTACGCTTTAACATAAAGATACATTTTTTCTTTGATAATAAGAATTTCATTTTTTTAAATCAGACATGACAATTTTCCATTATAATTAAATGAAATAAATCTTAAAATGAGGATATCCCACCTGGTATTTGATGGGAACAGGGTTCTCTCGAGTGGGACCTCTTCCACCCACAAAATGACAAGAACACACAAACAGAGCAGCAGCCATCTTCCGTGGGGTACCCTTAAATTTGCAAGCATCCATCCATGACTGACATTTCCTTGTACTAGCTGGTAGTCTATAGAATTTACATTTGGAGCCCTTCACTTCCTTGTGCTCGCAATCCCCATAAGAGCACTTACGCATCTACGATAAAACAAATGAACAAAAACACCGTCAAAGACCTCGGAGGAGTATTTCTATTAGTGTGTGTCATTTGAACACCTATTTCACTCCTGTACGACAGGCAATAATAAAATAAGTAAACTATTCGAGCCGGTAAGGTTAACCGATACCCGTTAGAGATGTTCCCGGCTCTAAAAACAATGCATTATTGCAAATAAATTATGCTCACCTTATATATTCTTTCTAGGATACGATAATATTTTTAAAAAACCCGCAAACTTCACGAATTTACAGCCCCCGCACGCTAAATCTCTTTGTTATTCGTTTGAGCACGATTAGACGACGCGCGGAGCCTCTAGCAGACGCCAGGCAAGATGGCGGCCGAACAAGTGAGGGTTTGTTATGTTCTACCCCCACCGCCGCATCTTCTTCTTTCTCTTCTTCACTATCGCAAAATACCTCATTGGTAGTATTGGGCAGTCTACTCGGCCTAATGCACAAATTTGGTGCTCTTTTGATCTGCGCAAAGCGTTTTGCAATCAACGAGCTAGATCTTCCAATCGAAGCAAAATAAGTAACCCCTGCACCTCCCTTGCGCATGGCTTCACGCGCTTCCTAGGCCGTTGCCGCCCCCTGGTATTAGTCGGGTCACCGATTCCTAGTATTACGCGGAATAGTGATGGCGTAATAGCCAATTTTTTTAAATTTTTCCCTATTTAGGATCCGATTTTGGCCTAAATATGGATAATTTCGAGCGTGATAAGCCTTACGTACGGTAATAGCGTAATAGAACGTAATAGGGAGTAGTCGGGCAGGGGGTGGCAACGGTCTAGGGAGAGCGTGAAGCGATTCTCGCGCCGTCAGTGCAGAGGTTGCGCACTTGTTCGAGATTATGAAAACTAGACTGTGTTTTTCAAAACGCTTTGCACCGATGGAAAGGGCTTGAAATTTAGGGCGCATAAGGCTAATTGCTCTTCTAGAAACTCCCCCGTTACCTAATATTAAGGTGCAGTAAAAACACCGAAAAACACAAAAATCATAAAATTGAGGAAAAAACTCAAATGCGCCATGTTGATGTAAATGATTCCGCCCTTGTGTTCGGTTGAATTGGAAGTATCGGGCAATCTACTAGGCCTAATGCACCCCAAATTTTGTGCTCTTTTGATCTGTGCAAAGCGTTTTGCAATCAACGGGCTAGGTCTTACAATCGAAGCAAATTAAGTAACCCCTGCACCTCACTCGCACATGGCTTCACGCGCTTCCTAGGCCGTTGCCGCCCCCTGAGTCGGGTCACAGTTTTTAAGAGTGATTTCCCCCTCGGATATAAGCATTGCCTAACGCTACGCTGCGAAATTTCTGCACGTGAAATACTGCAGTTAGTCCGTATTTAAAGTTATCTTCTATGGTGTTGTCAAATTTAAAGTGAATGGCTACGATACGCTGGCACTGCGCAACTATCTTGACTCCCGCTCCTGTGCGGAAGCGGTTGTTCTTGACGTCGTCGTAAGTAGATTGTGCTCAGATCGTCGCTGCTAAGCTTTTGAGGTAAAAATTACTGACAAGTGAGCTGCGCGTCAGATTGTGTACGACTGAAACCTGCCTGGGAAGATTTCTTCGTTATCTGGGACATTAAGATAGAACGGCTAGGACATGTTTCATGAGCGCGGGGCAACATACGACTGAAGTTCTGCACCTCTTCTGTTCCCGTTCATCAGGAATACTGCTCGCGACTCATTCCTCCACCTTCTCTTTCTCCGGAACCGATGCCCATTTGAGTCGGGTGGACAGTTCCTCGAACGCATCAGCTTCTGGACACACCGCAGCGGTCATCACTCAAATTTGAAGGTATGTTGTGCGCTACTAAACTACGTCCTGCGTAACATTACGCAGGACACTTCTGCGTACGAGCAGTAACGTGCTTGGGCAAGGGCACGTTCATTCGTCTCGTTTCGGAGTTGAAGCCCCATGCATGCTGTTTCTGCGGATGTCCGGGTTGGAATCCAGGAGCCGACATCGTGACCGGAAGCAAGGAGTAAGGAGGGCACTCCAAAGGAGCTCTGGCCTGCGAGAGAATCGAAACCGGAAGTGCGAAATGAGAGTTTCTACGCAGTGGGCAAGGACTGGAGCTCATCCGCAGCAGCCTTCATTTCTCATAGAAACTGTCACTTCATACTCCTGTTTTTTTGTTCTTCCGGGTCAGAGCTCCCTAGGAATACCTTTATGTTTGTTCCGAAACATACGCCGATGCATGAACGTGTCCTGTCAGTAACGGTACAAAATGAACCGTGTACTTGGACGTTCAAGCTGATTCTCGTTATCTTTGAACCACTTGGTATGTCAAACGCAATAGTTTGAACCTAGAACATGGTGTGATTCGAGACTGAAAATCCATTCCTTACTTTATTTTTTGCGTACCCCACAGTTTACCTTTAAAAATGAACCGTGTACTTTGACGCTCAAGCTGATTCTCGTTATCTTTGAACCACTTGGTATGTCAAACGCAATAGTTTGAACCTAGAACATGGTGTGATTCGAGACTGAAAATCCATTCCTTACTTTATTTTTTGCGTAATTAGTCCCACAGTCTACCTTTAAAAATGAACCGTGTACTTTGACGCTCAAGCTGATTCTCGTTATCTTTGAACCCTCTTGGTATGTCAAACGCAATAGTTTGAACCTAGAACATGGTGTGATTCGAGACTGAAAATCCATTCCTTACTTTATTTTTTGCGTAATTAGTCCCACAGTTTACCTTTAATAAATATTTGCGACGGTATGCTTCGTAACAAGAAATGTAAACTATTTGTTTCCGGCAATGGTGGCTCCTAGCTTCGGGTTTAAACCTGCTCCGAAACACAATCAACTCCCGAAACTGGTGTGATATTCCGTTACGCTGGCTCCACCCCCCACTGGTAGCCAACGAATGTGACGTCACGTTCGGTTTCACCGTTTGTCACGCTCAAACTACCATTGCCGTTTTCACGTGAAAAGAATCGTGACGTCACATTCGTGGCTACCAGTGCCCTCACTGTTGCTGCTTCATATCAAAATCGTGCATTGTCATTATTTGCAAACGATGCCAATGTCTTCAGGAAGTGATGACTTTTTCATCAACTGTGCCCCCGTCCACGAGCACTGCGTTGTTGCAAGAACTGCGATTAAAAAAATCTGTGTAACTATCTTTTCATTCCTTTCGAGGGTTGTCAATGCATTCTCGGCAAATCTTGGTTTTTTTTTCTCTTATTTTAATTTTCGAGAGGTTAAAGGCAGAGCTGCGGAAGACGTCGGACGATGTAAGGGAGGGTGGGGCACCATGACCACTGGGGCACCATGACCACCCCCCTCGCTCTCGGGAACACACTCTGAGAAAAAATGACGGTAAATCCTGGATAATTTTTTTTGCCAAACTTTACCGTACTTCAAAAACCAGTATCCTCCGTACAAACTACAGTATTTACCGTACTTGTTTTACAAAATATTCCGTAGTTTTTTAACAGTAGTTACCGTTCTCCCGTACAGTCCATGCCGTAGGAAAGACCAGATCTGGTCCCAACAAAGGCCGCTTCTAAGAAGTGTCCACATCAGGATCTTGAAAAAAGGGGGTCGACCGACTGAAAAATTTTATTGCACCTTTCAATAGGTCTCGTCAGGACCTTTCCAACGAGTGGTCGGAAGAGGGGTCCAGGAGTCCGACTTCAGCAGTTGCGTACATCAGGAACTTGGAAAAAGAGGGTCAACCGACTGAACAAAATTATAGCAGTTTTTGATAGGTATTAAAAGTACGGGATTGCCGGGGAAAAATGTACGGGATTCCCTGTAAAAAAAGTACGGCGTTTCCTGTAAAAAAAGTACGGTATTGCCTGTAAAAAAACGACGGCATTGCCTGTTAAAAAAAGTACGGTGAAGTCTGGAGTAATCAGTACAGGATTTACCGTGATCTTTTCTCGCAGTGCATGGTACCCCATAGGTGGGGCGCCATGACCACTTTGCGTTTTATTTTCCAAAGTGTTCTGTGAGCCTGCCGTGCATTGCAGACAAGTTCCAAAGGGCGGAAGAGGTCCTTGGAGGTCCAATGAATCCCCTCATGCTGGAAACTTAACTTTTCGAACCACACGGTGGAGTAGAGGGAGGTACAAAAAAAAAGTGGTCATGGTTCCCCACCCTCCCTTACATGCCTGAGACACACACCACCGTCGGATGTATTAGAATCTGCATCTTTCATTGCACGCGCACGCCCTCAGCCTCATACACTGCAAACCCAACTGTCTGCTTAGTACACAGTTACAAATACATGCTTGTAAGTGTGTACTTGCAAGCATGCGTTTGTAAGCGTGTTCTTAGTAGACAGTTACACTGCAAGAAAAAGTGTGGATAGTACAACAAAAGTACAACAAAAACTGTACAGTAGAAGTACAACAGGGATTGTAGAAAGTACAACGAGAATGTACAAACCGAGCCCTGGACTGCACAGCACTCGTCATGCCGGTTCCATTGTACTGTGTACAACAATTGTTGTACTTGAAAAGTACACTAAATTTCTGAGAAAAAATTTGCCAGAAATTTGTGTACTTCTGTTGTGGTTATTTCCTTCAGTGTAGGTTTAGAGTGTGCCAACAATTTTTATTACACTTCAAGAAAAAGTGTAAATAGTATAACAAAAACAAAAGTACGACCTAAACTGTTAAATGAAAATAGAACAGAGATTGGATCAAGTACAACGAGAATTGTACAAACCGCAACGAGGCCTGGACTGTCCAGCACTCGTCACGCCGGTTTCATTGTACTTTGTTCAACAATTGTTGTACTTTGAAAGTATACTAAATTCCTGATTTAAAAATTGACATGAATTTCTGTACTTTTGATGTGGTTTTTACTTGCAGTGTATCAGGCGTATTTTTTTAAGTAACCATAAGACTTCCTATTCCCTTCTAAATATTTAAAAATGTCTTCGTAATTTATTTAGAAACTGAACATTTTAGTTCATTAAGGGGGGACCCTGGTGAAACTTTCAAGTAGGCTCTCAAATAAACCCAGAAAGTTGAAACTTGGCTTAATTCTTAGGTTCATTACGGTGAGTTCCCGAAACAAAATTCAATCCAAAATGTTGATTGGTCTTTGAGAAAAGTGACACTTAAGTGTTACGATTTTATTTAAATAAACCTCTGTCCTGGGACACAAATTTTTATATTTTAATAATACAATAAAGTGAGTTTTTTGCCTATTTTTCAAACTTTTTTGTGTTTGTAAAGTTTTTGTGTTTGTAAAGTAAATTGGTTTTAAGTTTCCATCACTAAAATTTGTGCAAGTCATCAAAGAATAGTGTCCATGCAAAACAACTTATGTCTGTGTTAACCAGGAACGCAGGAAGTCTTTCTACGACAAAATTATTTTATCGACCGAGCAAAGCTGAGAAGTTAAGCGTAAGCCAACGACAACTGTTCTCATTGTTATTTCCTATAAGTGATGAAGAAACTACCCACTTAGCTTAAACGTGTTCAAACTGTTGAATCTGGAACCTTCGATGCACATTTTTACTTATGAACTTTTAAAAATACTATTTTTTGGCAAATTTGGCCAATTTTTCACCAGGGTCCCCCCTGTAGTAACAAATCGCTTAGGTAAAACTTATGAAAAATTCTTAACAAGATGGTTGCTTACAAAAATGCTTCTGCTGGTAAGAAATTATCAGTAATTGGCTGAGAGTGCAGCCAAATTTTACGACCCTCTGAGCGTGTACGTTTGAGCGATGTGCCTTTACATTTCCCTCTTCGTGTCTTTTCGCAGATCGCTACTGTTGGTCCCACCGCGCCTCCTTGTGTCCCGGGACGTCTCCCAGGACCTTCCGAGTCATCACTAAGGTACGTCCTGTTCAAGTCGTAGTGTGCTTACTTCTCCGTGCGGTCCCTCTCAGTAACGAGTTGTTCTGGTGTCTCCGACTGACAGGAACAACGTCCATTGTAACATCCTCGCAGACGTTCGTGAAGATGCCCGTCCAGTGCGCAGTTTGCAGTCAATGGTGCGTCTCGCCGTCAGCGCTATCCGTGCATTCAAGGATCCACACCGGAGAGAAGCCCTTTGAGTGCGCGGTCTGCAAGCAGAAGTTCAGTCGGGAAGGAAACCTTCGTAAGCACCTCCGCACCCACACCGGAGAAAAGCCTTTTGAGTGCGCGGTTTGTATGAAGAAGTTCAGTCAGGACGATAACCTTCGAAGGCACCTCCGCACTCACACCGGAGAGAAGCCCTTTGAGTGCACGGTCTGCAAGAAGAAGTTCAGTGAGTCAGGAAACCTGAGGAAGCACCTCCTCATCCATACCGGAGAGAAGCCTTTTGAGTGCACGGTCTGCATGAAGAAGTTCAGTCAGGCAGGAGACCTTCGAAGTCACGTCCGCACTCACACCGGAGAGAAGCCCTTTGAGTGCACGGTCTGCAAGAAGAAGTTCAGTGAGACAGGAAACCTGAGGAAGCACCTGCTCGTACACACCGGGCACAAGCCGTTTGAATGCACGGTCTGCAGTAAAAAGTTCAGTCAAACGTCAACCCTCCGAACTCATCTTCGGATACATACTGGTAAGAAGCCCTATGAGTGTGCAGCTTGCGCCAAGAAATTTCGTCTCCCAGTTTCCCTCCGATCCCACATCCGTACCCACACTGCGGAGATGCCTTGAGTGAAGGGGTGTGCTTTCAGCTGACGTTATTTTAAGGACAGTATGCGCCGTGGGGAACAGGTCCAATAATGCGGTGTCGAGAAGCCTGTCTTCTCCAGCCAGGAACAAGTAGCAAACGCTGAGAGCAGTAACTTATTTTCGAAATAATGTATTCGCAACCCAATTCAACGCAACAGTGGACAAGCAGTTAGAACTGGAATTTAGGTTTCATGTCGTGGGTTATGCTACGTGATTCTGCAAACTGGGCTTCATTCTGAATTGATAATTTTCAAAATTATTGTCCCCAAAAATGTAAATGAAAATTATATTTAAAAAAACAAAACAAAAAAAAAACAACTTTTTGTTATCTAAGTGTTTGTTTGACGACCGGCCAACAGCTTTGACAGTTATATTTTGTGACACAGTAGAGGAAACCACCTGTAAGACTTAAGTTAATTAGATTAATTAGTTAAATTTCACACCAATAATTGTAGGAGAAATGGTTTTCAATGATAAGTTGTGAGAAGACGCTCCATTTCCGATGCTGCTTTGTCTGACAATGCGTCTCTAGATGCACTGCGGTTCTGATGTGAATTTACATCTTTGGTATATTCAAATCATCATTCCTTTGTTCCAACACATGTTACGCGTAAAGAGACATTGTACCTTCTTGTGAGCCGCAATGATTGCTTTGTTAATCTTAGCTGGTATGGAAGTCCGGTCTGAACTTTAGTTTATTTCATGATTAACATGGTATCACTAGTGTTCAAGTCTGTAAGTAGTAAAAAAATACAATAGAATGTATCTTTTCATTTCCTTCCTACCCTGTCTCAGACCCGCTCGTCCGGCCCTGGTCCTGACCCGATCGGGCCTGATCGACCCTTACATCAATTTGTATCATTGGATTATTACCGTTTTTCACTTTCACAAAAACATTCATACACTTTAAAAACGGTTATAACCGGTTGTTGCATGGAATACCGCGAAATATGACACAAATATCGACATAAAATATCCGAAATAATACCTATAATACTCCATAGTACCTATAATATTTAACACTTCGTACGCGGTTCAGGAGAATCAGCCCCCCTTGGCACGCTCTAACAACACGGGTTGAAATTTGTACATCAGACTTCAGGAAAGACCTGGAATTTAAGTAAAATTTCCTGAGATTTCGGTTGGCTTTAATTCTAGATCTGAAATTCATGTGGCATTTAAAAAAACCTGTACACTGGAATTCAAAGTAGTTTACCCTTGGCTCCACTCTCATTCCAGGAACGTGTTATCACGCTGAAGAGAATGTGACGAAATTTCGAGTTCCTTTGAGCATTGTCACATTCGTTTCAACGAAGTGACAGGTGGGATGAGTGTGTCCAAGGGTGTAAACACTCGCGTAATGCCCTGTACACAAGAACTGTGTAAACGTTAAACAATTTTTGGGTCAAATCGAGGGGTCCTATTCAAAAGATCTTATCTGGGCGTTCCCCCCAAGAGAATCTTATCTTAAAGGCAGGCAAATTTCACTGAGTTTGAGCATTTAATACAGCTTCCGATCAATATATTTTGTGATTTCATTCACTTTAATCTGAAAATAAAAGATCAAAGAAACCAATAGTGCATGAAGAAGTATAATCCGCTTACTCCCGTATCCACCCCAAAGGATCAAAATGGGTGAAATTTGCATGCGCATAAGATAAGATTCTCTTGCGTCAGCGAGGTGAACCTCGCTGCCGCGGTGCACGCGCCCTCACGCGCACGGCCCGTTGCAGGTTGCGGTACGAAATGATATAACAGTGAGTCAATGAGGGCGAAAGCGCCAATTTAATTATCAGCTCCAACCGGCCATGCACACTGCGATTCACTCTTTTACTACCACCAAATGGAACGCTTAGGCTTGATCTTGAAATTTGTCGACGCCCTAAACGGTCTGGAGGTCTTTCACCAAACGAATCCTTCACCAGCTGGACCAGCTTCTTTGCGGAAAACTGAATTACAATCCACCTCGGGGCACAGTGTCGGCGTACGCCACGAAACACCCGAGCGTGTCTTGATAGTTATTCTCCATAAGTCGCAATGTGGCCCGCCATTTTCCGTAGTAAAAGGCCGGCAAGGCGCCGATGCGGAAGTCGGTCGACATGTTTCGGACATGGTACACGCCCTGCGAGGGAACATCGTAAAGTGAGTAGTGGTCTACAACATGCAGTCATCAACATGTCGTAAAAAGTTGAATAAAATCCTGTCAAAGTTAGCACTTGTCAACGAGCGCAGAATTCCAACTGCTGTAACAAATTAAAAACAAAAATAACAAGCTAGGGCCCGCCCTTCCGTCGAACCGAGTTGCCAGTCCGCTTCGCTGCGCCGGCAACTCGGTTCGACAGAGGCCAGGCCCAGCTTGGCCTGCCGGTGGCCTTTCCTCGGGCCTTCGGCACCCGCATCCGACACCCCTTTAGGTGGTAACCGATGCATCATCTTGAATAAGGTCCACCCTATTATCCATAATATAGACTAATATGGACAAAAAATTTTCAGTCGGTCGACTCTCTTTTTCGAAGATACTGATCCTGATAACTGCCGAAGGCTTGCTCGTAGACACCCCCCCCCCCCTTTTCCGAGCACTCATTGAAGAGGTCTCGGCGAGACCTCTCGGAAACCGCAATAAAATTTTCCGGGCGGTCGACCCCCTTTTTCCAGGATCCAAGGCACTACTACAGAACTGCAAAGCTGGTGGTTAGTTTGCTTGCCACAGATTTGGCAAGCCGGTTTGAATGCCAAAAATTGACAAGCTTGACCTGGAAATACCACTCAGCTTGTCAAAAATTGGCAAGCTTGGCCTGGAAATACCACCTAGCTTCTAAAAATTTGACAAGCTTATGAAGATTTCCAACCGAGACTTGCCAAATTTTGGCCTTTCAAAACGGCTTGCCAAATTTGTGGCAAGCAAACTTACCACCAGCTTTGCAGTGAGTGCCTTCCAAATTTTGGAACTCTGGCTCAACTCCCTCCTTGTACGCAGACGACGACACACAGACTCAAAGGCAAATGCCTTGCGGGGTGATTCCGTGCGTATGGGCGAATTCTGTGTCCTCGCCCTCCTGGCTCGAAGGAGTGCATTGCATTGGTGCAGTTGCACAGCAAAATGAAGAATCGCATTGAGATTGATGATGCCCCACTCCAACCGACCCCATATGTCACGAGGATTCTTCGGAAAAGATGTAGAAGTAGTCCAAATGTAAGATCCGTCCTTGTCCTACTGGGTAAAAGTTCAACTTTACAACAACGTTGCGAGAAACTGGGATCATTGCTTGCACTAAACGGTATTGGAACTTGTTCCTTGGCACCCAGACATCATTTCAATAGAATATGGCTTCCCCAATCGAACTTCAAGTAGGGCAAATCAATACCCGAAAAATGTCCACCGCAAGTGTAAAGCATCAGTCTTCAATTGAAATAACAAGCTGTTTCCGGTCGATGCAGGGCCGAGAGATGAAAAGTTCTCGTCATCGTGAGCCGGACTACACGGCAAAATTACCGCCTGGGATTCCCAGGCGCATCATGGGAAAAAGGGCCTATTTTCCAGGCACCGCCTGGGAATCCCAGGCGGTACTTTTGCCGTGTACCCTAGGATAAGAAACCGTGGATATCAGTGGATATCACAGTCTTTAATAGAGTACGAAGGGCGGGGTGGGGCGGGGTAAGTCCAAAACTACCTAGGTGCGTATTTTTATTGATGTAAGTTCCGTCATCCCCTTTTACTACCAAACGAAACATGTTGAAAGCTTGCGCTACATGGGAAAACTTTAGGGCTGCAGAGCAAAAGGAGGCCGAAACATGCGGAAAATCAGATAACCAAAATGTTCCCCGAAATGAAAGTTTCATTTTTCAAATGTGTGGCACCCAGAATTCGCCCAGACGCACGGAATCACCCAACCCCGGCTCCTCGCTCGAGCATGGAAACACAATCCCTTACGCACAAACTGCAAAATAATTCAAACTAACTTTCTGATCGACCAACAAGGCAAATGTAAAAATTCACCTAAAGTGCAATGTCCAAGTGTAAAGTTTTGTGTTGTTAACCTTTTCATAAACGAAGCCCGCAACACCGACGAGCGTAGATTCGATGGTTCGAATACCGACAGATTCAAATTCCCGACCTGGTGCACGACCGCTTAGTAACGTGCACGTTTCATCTAAGATTTCTCTCTCATAGGAGAGAAGGTTCAACGTCGAAATTTAGTGTTTTTGTCTGACTTTTCTTTAGGCTGGCCGTGTCTCTTTATTCAGACTACTTAGCTCAAAATTTTCAGATCGTCCAATTCTTAATTTTCAGAAGAGATGAAGTGTGAATGAAGATTACACAAGTATCTAAAAGAGGTTTAATACAGAAATCATAAAATCTTGATCCTTCGTCAACAAAAAAAATGTTTTCATACACGAGCCCCCTTACGCTACTCTCCTTACCGGCGGCCACGGACAGTCAGCGTTGGCGTCACCGTGGATCGCCAGCATGATCTTGCGCCAGGCTTGAGGCACGTAGGTCTTGAAGGCCGAGCAGTAGTGCTTGACTCTAAAAATGTATGCGTTCTCCTTCCAGCCACCGCGGCTGCTCCACGACGCTACGTTAATGTCAACCTGACGACAGTCAGAAAAGTGTTATTGCACATTACGAAGTAATAGTGTCAAAACTTTAGATGTTGCAGGTTACAATTTTAATACCACTACAATTCCAAGGGTCAGACTTCTCACTACCGTCTCGAGGCGAGAAAAGTTTTGGTCAGACCGAAAGTCTCGCCAAATTTCGGTCAGACATGCGTCTCACCACAAAATGGTTATGCGCGTTCGTATCCAAACTTGAAGAAACTCATCTTGCAATGATGGTGGCGCGGAGGGTGAAGGACATCAAGGACCGTCCGGAATAATATCAAGCCGTTTCCGATTAAGAGTAAAAGTTGCAAATTTGCAACTTGGATTTCCGTCCTATCTTTTAGGTATCATCGCATGTATCCCTTTTAGGGATCATTTCACTGAGCATACTCGAAAAATGGTTAAAGTGATTGCTTCAAAGCGAGTTGTTGCACCTTGATCAAACTTCCAACGTCTGAAGTGAACAGCAAGATGTTAAGCAAAAGTTGAGTTTCCAGTGAGCATTCGCGAGGAACCTGGGGACTCACGTCATGGTCATTCGTCCACGTGAAGAGTGTGGTGAAGTTGCCGCTGTAGTACCAGAGGTCTGGGTCATGCCGGTCGCGTGTTTGCCTCACGTAGAAATCGAGGGGCTGCGCAGGCTGCAAAGCGGGTGGGCAATGGGTCACGTAGCGTGGTATTACGCGGAAAGGCCCCTGTGCAGAAAAAAACCACGTAAACTGATCGTCTCATTTACATCTCCACTTCCAGGTCGTGATAAACATTCCCTTTGGTATAGGCAGAAAGGGTTTAATCTTGTGGAGCTACCCTGAGCGACCTGGATACATCCTAGCCATTCCCTGAACGGCCCACCTGGAAGCCACTGTTTCATGAAATCACTGGAAAAGCAGTATGCGAATGAAGTTTTTTCGTCCGTGGACACGGAATCTTGTTCCCAGAGGGAGTGCTCAAAAGGGTTGTTCTGGGAATTCCAAAACGTTGACATGCTTTCCCGATACTGTCCCCATTCTTGCAGGCATTCAAAGCTTTTTGGAGGCTGATTTTGGAGTACTTGATTCGAACCGGTCCTTGCCTGGGCGCTGATCGAGCCATTTTGGGTGGTCCAAGTTACAATGTTTTACTGTTTCGCCAATAACTTCCAAATTACTTGACAGAAAAAACATTTTTCACAGGCATAACCTCAAAACATGTACGAACAAGAAAAAATGCCAGAAACGGCTAGATCGTTCCTAGTTAATGCTCTGCACCCGAAGTTTATCACGGAAAGTTCAAAAATGCTAAAATAGGGTTACTTTCAAATTGAGAGAAATCGAGCTTATTTCGCTTATTGAGGCTCCCACCTCCTCCTGTTTGTTACAAGTCGAACCGCAAAACAATTTCGTTCGGATTCCAGCGCGCGGAAGTAGTTCTCGAGGCGGCCGCTAGGTGGCAGCACCAATCAAACGGGAGACGGTCAGAGGTGGTCCATGTTACCCACGGTGGTCTAAATTACCCGCATCTACGGTACCCACTTGAGAGGGCTTCTTGGACCTTCTATATTGAGTCCATGTAGAATGAGAAGCAATTGGCCGATTTTGACGAAACTTGAACTAATGGCAAGTGAAAACTCTCCACTTCAAGGATAAACCTGTATTGAGCCAAGATTGGGAATCTTCTGGTTCGAAATCGCAATTCTTTTCGTTGTACTTTTCTTTCCCGGTGGTGTACACTCTACAAAAAATGTCCTGTCAACGCCGTTAATTTATTACCAATGTTTGCTGTTATGCAATTCACGGCGTTTGCTGTGAACTAGTTCACGGCGTTCACTGTGATCTCGGTTACAGTGTTCACTGTGATCTGGCCACAGTAAACGCCGTGAATTGGAGCCTGATTTGCAGTACTTCGGTGCTCAGCGGCGTCAAACTCACAGTGTTCACTGGGGACCAGATCACAGTGAACACCGTGAACAAGATCACAGTGAATCGTGTGAGCAGATCACAGTAAACGCTCTGAATTTACCTACAGTGAAAACTGGTAATAAATTAACGGCATTTACAGGACATTTTTGGTAGAGTGTACTTTTCTTACCCTTTTCAAGAAGTGCCGAAATCACATATATTTTGGCATGTTGTACGTAATGTGGGGAACTACAATCATTGGACAGTGGTCTATTTCATCAGGAAGGGACTGGATTATAAGTTCACGAGAGCAGAATAGTTGAATCCTCATTTGGAACTGCTCTACAGTGCAAACTACGCGTTTTGTACTTTTCTACCCCAACCTTCCCCTACGGGTAACGGTAAGATTGATCAGCTCCCCGCCGCGCGTGATTCTGAAAGTTATAGGTGTAGACTTCATGAAATACTTCGAAAAAATTAAATTGGTCGATTGGTTTGGCAGTACGGGCTCGCTTACAAAAATGATCCATGATTGGTACCCCGATCCATGTTCGGCACTTTACCTTAACAGTGATTTGCCGTGTGTTAGCATCAGTGGTCATTTTCCGACTGTGTGAAAACTTCCCATTCTGAAACGGCTGGACTTATAACAACGGACGGGTGGGTCCTAGTTTTCCTTTCAAGGCCTTAAACTAAACGTTGCTTACCGCAGTATTGTGGATTGATTTTTGAAAACTTTGATTCCACAATGTGACAATGAGTACCACGACAAGTTCTGAGCCACGTCGTAACATGGCGGTGAATGGAGATCAGAACACTTCAATTGAAGGGGCTGCACTGCAAAAAGAAAAGCTCACTGCTCTGAACCGGGAAGAAAGGCATAGCACTTCAAAAAAAAAGATGCGGTAAGTGTTCAAAATGTGTTAAAAACCCCTGAATAATGAGGATTTTGCGGGATTTTGTCCATTTTATGTGAAAATACAAAGATGCGTGGCTTTTTCGGTAGCCATTCCATCAATAAATTTCAGGTTTAAAGAGGCAAATTCCGTCAACAAAAACTAAGAAACTGTTGACAGAACCCGTGTGTCACTACACGTTGGAAGGTCACAGAGAATCCAAACGCTATGAATATAACGCCCATTCGTGCGATCCCCCCCCCCCTGTAAGATTCCCTTAACGCGGGCCACCAGCATCACGCCCATGTAGGTGGACTAATACACAAGCCATCCCTGTCGGGAGCTCCTTAAACCGCGCTTGCTGGATCCCCGGCCTTCCCAACCAAGTCGAACTCACTAAATTCAACCACCAGTTGAAATGATCTGGAAATTGTTTTTATCACTTTGGGACACTGCGCAAGAAAGCTGTTCAGTGCAAATTGGATGGAAAGACTTCGCGCCAAAATATGGCGAGACATAAAAGTCTCGCCAAGTTTTAGTCAGACCTGAAAGTCTCGCCAAAATTTGGTCAGACTAAAAAGTCTTACCACCAAATGGCGAGACTTTTTGGCCTGACCACGGCCTTTAGGCCGTAATTGTCCGGCACATTACGGCCTTAATGCATAGTAAAAACTCTACGAAGAATCGCTTCCTAATGCGAAGAAAATGAAGGCATTGTAAATCCTACGAAGAAATGCTTCGCATTATGAAGCAAAATCCTTTGTAATACGAAGCATTTCTTCATAATGCGAAGCAATTCTACAATGTCTTCATTTTCTTCGTAGTTATGAAGCAAATGCTTCGTAGGATTTTAAGAGTGTGGGAGGTTCTGGTGAAAATCTTGCCATTTTCCAAATGGATCCCACTGTCATAATTTGTTCGGAATATAAAATCTTTCTTCGACAGAGACTAAAATTTGACTTTTGAAAGCACATCCCCGATGGCACCGCACTGTGGGAAAAAATCACAGTAAATCCTGTAGTGATTAGTACAGCGGTCACTGTAGTTCAGAGTACAGGATTTACTGTACTTTTGTAACAGGATCTACTGTACTTTCTACGGGATTTACTGTACCACAGGAGTGGAGTACGGAATATCCTGTACCAGGTACAGTAGATACTGTAGCCAGGCACGGTAAATCCTGTGTTCTGAACTACAGTAAATCCCGGCAAAAAAATTAACAGGATTCACTGTTGTTTTTTCGCACAGTGCGTGTCGTTGCCATGGAGACTTTTTTTTCATGTTTTAACCATTTACTCACAACACAGACGATTTCTTGTCACTTTGATGAGGCAGGACGTTTAGTTTTGAGGAGTGGCACATTTTTTATTTGAACTATTTTTTGATAGCATCGACGGGTCTCGTTTTCGATTGTTGCAAATTTATGTTTTAGTCGTTTACGTTAAATTCTCACGATAAATTTTTGAAATTTTTCGCCTTTATAATTTGGTTATGATAAGGAGTAATTTGGCGGGAACCATTTTCCAATCAGATGATACCAAAAAAAAAGAAGAAATCTGAGCCGTCAGAAACAATTGGGGTCTTCCTTCGTCGGAACCCCTAAAAAATACGACCACGGGCTTTCTCGTATCGCAGTATTGGCCAGCCCACCAGTACGCGGCGCCCAGACTGCGATACGAGAACGCGCGTGGTCGTATGATCAAATTTCTGTTCTGGTCAAAACGGGGAAACAGCAACAGGTAGGAAAGAGCGACCAAATTGTTTTTTACCTGCCAGGTCTCACGCGTGTTCTCGTACCGCGCTTTTGATAAAGGGCAGTTACGAGAACGGTGTTCTCGTATCGCAGGAAGCGCCATGGCAAAAATTAATTTTCCGGCCACGCACCGAAGACACTACAGGCAACCAAAGGGAAACAACTCCAGCCAAATGTGTACACCGAAATTCATCAAACGTTTAAAATTCGCGAAAATTCATCGAAATTGGACTGAAATTTATCTGAATTCGACTGAAATTTATTGGATTTGTACACCGCAATTCACACTGATTTCCCCTTGCAGGCAACATTGGGAGACGCCGGAGAAATAATTATGCCAAGGCGCATCCTGCGATGCGAGAACACTGTTCTCGTTCGAAAATGGTCGTAGGACGTGGAAACAACAGCCGAAATTTTCATGAGACCTTGTAGGTCAAAATTTTTTCGGTCTCATTTCCCCACCTATGCCCGTTTCCTCGTTCTGGCCAGAGCAAAAATTTGGCAAAATACGAGGCGGCATGTTATCGTACCGCAGTTTTGGACCGCCCGATACGAGGTTGCATGTTCTCGTATCGCAGCGGACGTGTTAAAAACGATTCTGTTCCCGATAATACTCGTACTCCTGCATAGCAGATTTCGACGCGTCCCAATAGAATTATCCTACATCTCAGAGCAGATCCAAGGCCGTCCTGCCAGTCTTACTTTAGAACTATCCTGAAAAAGCGGTCTTTTTCGGCTGAGCGATAGCGAAGCCCTTGCCGTGTTTGGGCGCGCTGAAAAGTGACTGGTCGTGCGTCTGTCTGTGACTTTGTACTCACCAACGATTCTCAGCAACTACAGTGGCTATAGTTTCAAGATTTCGTATTTAACGTCGCCTTAGTACCCCCCAACACGAGTTTGTTTCAAATCGTTGTTTAGTATCGTATGAAATAATCAAAACCTATTTTTGAATCAGGTCATTAGCGTGGTTAGGTTGGCAGCGCGGCAGCAGCGCTTACCAATTTCTCATACCTGCGGGTCCACGGCTCTCAAATACGGGACTCAAGCAAATAAGCCAATAAAACTAAATAAAGAGCAGAAGGGTTTGGAAATGAGATCGGCCTTAGTTTTTCAACATTCTAGAATGATTAAAACCCTTTTGGAACACCAACACAGCGAAATATGGAGAATGGATTCGAAAATGATTTACGTGTTTCGTTCCCCTCTCCCCCCTCCCCTGTCAGAGGGGAATCATCTTCAGGTCAGTGCACTTTTGACAAAGCATTGTAAAAAGGATGTTTTTATTTTGACCTTTTGTATTGTGTGCATCTTTTTATTTCATTCTAGTGTCATCCTCTTTTTAAAATTTTCAAACTAGAGGAAATCAGGGAAATGCATAAATAACTTGTGTTGAAATTGGCAGGCATACTTAGTTTGGACTCGAGAAATTCATTCTATTGCAATGCTGCAAGCTGACAAGAGTACAAAAGCACTAACATGAGTTTATTAATAGAATCAATGTATGGTTGTGTATATTTAATCCTAATAGAGTTTGAATTGATATTGGTTTCAAAGAGACGACTCAGGTTTTGAGCGGTGAGTGAATTGGTGATTGGATTTAGTGAGACGATTCCTTTAACTTCACCGAAGTTAATATAACTGGTACTACTCAGTATTGTTTACATGAGTAAGATAAATTATGTCGGTTCATTTAGCCTTGGGTAGCCTTGGCATTGGACTCTATGTGACGAATCACTGGATTTGACAATAATTGGTCCCCGTTAACTGATTTAGATCAGCCTACCCTAAACTGACTCTCTTAATATTTACTGTGATAACATGTTCCAATCAATATTGTTTTATTCACTGGTTCACAATGAAAGAATGACAAAATGTTTCATAAATATAACTTATAAAATTGTGAGTTCATTAGTTAAGAAAAAAGAGTTATCGAATAGTGACCCAAGCATACGAGTAGCCAATTAAGCGATTCAAAGCTGGCAATTGAATTTTACTCGACTCAGGGATTCGCCTTGGTGTGGCATCAGGGAATTGGTGACGGCAGAGGGTGCTTCATGAAGACAAATAGGAACAATATACAGAAATTGAGTCTAAAGTATTGTATGTAGTTTGCAGTGTACTGGCAACAAAAACTACATTTATTTCAATGCCAATCCTACATTTTCATCTAGAGCTACGCAATTTGGGGCAATTTTAACACCAGACCTATATTTTCATCCCATATTAGGTCATTTTGGACCAAAAATTTCAAGTCAAGTTTTATATTGTTTCCTGCAGTTTTTTGTGTGCTGAACTCAAAAATGACTTCCAAAATTTTCCCAGACTCACACTTACCCGAATTTTAACCAATTTTGGACCAAAATTTTTAAATCGAGTTTGACGTTGATCCCAGCAGTTTTTGGTGTGCTGATAACGACAATCACTTTCATTTCGACTTCAGACCTATATTTTCATCGCAAATTAGATCATTTTGGACCAAAATTTTCATGTCGAGTTTTACATTGTTTCCTGCAGTTTTTGGTGTGCTGAACTCAAAAATGACCTTCAAACTTTTCCCAGACTCATATTTAACCGAATTTTGACCAATTTTGGACCAAAATTTTTAAATCGAGTTTGACATTGATCCCAGCAGTGTTTGGTGTTCTGATAACGAAAATCACTTCCATTTGTGCCCCTGGTCTAAAGTTCACTGAATATGAGCCCATAAGATGGACATTTCGTCTACTCAAGCAAAGTCCAAAGTGCACAAAAAATGTCCATTCGCATCGCTCAGCCACACTACGCGCCCAGACTGAACGGCGCGTACCCCTAGTCTAGAAGTCCGTGACGCCAACATACTTAACAAAATTACTCACCGAAGGGCTTGTTGAGAAGTTTCATCCCTATATAAAGACGTGGACATTGTATTTCACAGACATCGCGATTCACTGATTTGCAGTAAAGATAGTTCAGGAACCCCTGCATTTAGGATAGTTGTAAATCTGCACTACCAGTTATAGGATTGTCTTGGATCTACTCTGACAGTAACGATTATTTTATTAGGACGCGTCATTTTGCGACTTCTGGTGATACCGCACAGGGAGCTTGATAGCCATTAGACGTATGACACAATTAATGAATCAGCAAGTAAAACCACAGGTTTCCCACTTGTATTTTACTTAGCAGATGTCAGGGCCTCTAAAGGGACTCTTAAAAAAAGAAATGACTCAGAAACCGCCAGAATCTGTTCGGATCCTACTCAAACGAGCAGTTTCGGACTACAATTTGCACTTTGGAATAGCATGGTTGTCAATTTTCTTTACAGCTACCTGTCACTTAGTACTTTTATCAGGAATCCAAATAAATAGGCCTCTGCATACATTGTGGGCGACCGCGGTGTTACCCGGGCACGGCACAATTGAGAATGGCTGAATAGGAATCCACGCCGCATTCACTGACCTTGGCGGGTTGCACACGACCACAGCCATAAGTACATGGACAATGTGAGGATTACGGTTGGAGTGGACTACCGAGTCAACTCACGTTCAGGCCTGTACGTTCGTTTTACGTTAACTTTTTACAGTCGTTGTTTGTTGCACACATTTCTTTGAACTTGACTCATCCCCATAAGGTAAGTGTCAATATATTAAATTGGATAATTTTTTTAAAAATTGTATTTTAAAAAACATGTTTATTGTTTTCAGAATGCTTTGGATGAGGTGTACTTGGGGCCAGATTGTGAAGAAGCATTGAAGGTGATTCCTCTCCCCAATGACCCTGAGAAAAAGTTCCCCATAGAACAGTTGGTTCAGAGGAGAAAGCAAGATATAAATTGATTTCGGCTTCGTTGTCTGGATTTTTATCTCACGGCAGCAAAACAGATCCAGACGATTTTTCCAATTGGAAAACCCGTTATCCAGGAAATGGAATTTATCGACCCCTAGGTTGCTCTGGATGAGAAAACACGGGGTCTTCCTCATTTGCGCGATTTGAGCATCCTTTCCAACGCCTTCAAGGCAAGTTTCTGCGTGAAAGAATGCACCCCACATCGGTACCCCACGCGCGTGGCCCGGGAGAACCTCCGCTGCGCGTGGGGTAGCGACATTGTCAGCAGCATAATTTCATTTATCATCATTTTGTTACAGGAGAAACTAGGAATTGATGCAACAACTGTGGCCTTTGAATGGAGAACAGTCCCAGGTCTTTTTGACGAGGAGCAGAAACAGGCGCTGCTGAAAATGAATCCAGAAGAGTTCTGGGCTGAAATTTACAATGCAAGGGACTTCCAAGACAACCGCAGTGCCCCCAGTTGCCGAGCTAGCTCGCTTGGTGTTTATCATCCCTCATGCTAACGCCGACTGTGAACGCACTTTCACCATTGTCACTGATACTAAAACCAAGAAGAAAAACAGGATGTGTAACAAGACCTTGAACGGCGCTACTCGGGTAGCGTTTCGCACCAAGAATTATGATGCTGTGTCTTTGGAAATTACTAACAAGCACTTGGAGAAGCACAATGCTTCTATGTACGACTGAAAACTTAATTAACGACATTAGCAAATGAAGTCTCATGATACTTCATAATGTCGTTAATTATTTTGTTTTTATATGATTAAGTGTATCTCCACTTACAGTATTTTATCGTCTTGTTTTAAAGTATTTTAAATGACGCGATTAGCGAACTGGCCATATCTAGCGAGTTTTTTCACGGTTCTAGTCTACAAACTGTGTGACTGTTCAATATTTTAAGTAATATTTTATTTCTTTAAGCTACACTTTGTACCAATGATATATTAGTAAGTGTTGATGGCTGTAATTTGAGATACGTGCAATAAACCTCCGTTCAAATGTAGCGCTTTGTTCCATTGTCCTGAAAGTACAGTGCAGGCAACCTTTCTCGAACGAAAGTGGTGGTGACGAAGAGCCCTTTAAAGCACATTTTTTGCTTGTGAGGGGTAGGTATCACACGAAATATTCATATCTTGTTATAAATTTGACCAATTTTCACGACATTTAGAGTTAAATAAGCAATTTGGCTAAAAGGGGATTTTTTTTCTATTTGTGGGACTATTGGCTAACTTGCGTGGGACAAACGCTCGACTGGGTCTGGCACCACTGGTTTGTTTCCACCAGCTTATCAACTCCTGCCGTTTTTGAGGATATTGAAGACCTGCTCCCTTCTGCAGAGTACGTTTATAACAAAGATCATTTCATTATAGCAATTACATCAATTTTCAACTGAGAATTTAACTTTTTCAGAAGAGTGCACTACAAAATATTTGGTCTGTCAAAAAATCAGCCCCAAATAAAAGTGCTGACAAGTATTCTGCAATGGTGTTAGGGCTGACTTTGAAAGCCCACACCCCACCGACCAGGATGTTGACAGATGACAGTATTACAATAATTCTTGAGATTGCTGCAAATATAATTGTCTGAGCGATAGCAAAGCCTATTACTTCAGTGGGGTTAAAAAGGTTATTCCGTGTATGTGTGAGCACTCCTCCTCCTAAACGGTTCAGTCGATCTGGCTGAGATTTTGCAGGCTCGTTATGTTTTTGGTTCGCCATCGTTCGCCACACACCAATATTCAGCTTAGAATTTCAATTCCTTCATTGGCGGAGCGATAGCGAAGCCCTTTACTCCAGAGCGGTTGAAAAGTTTTGAATATCTGTGTGTGTGTGTGTGTGTGTGTGTGTGTGTGTGTGAGAGAGAGAGAGAGAGAGAGAGAGAGAGAGAGAGAGAGAGAGAGAGAGAGAGAGACAGATTGTGTGTGTACACTTCTCCTCCTGAACGGCTCGGCCAATCCGGCTGAGATTTTGAAGGGTCAAAAAGTATGTCCTTGGCTCACCACACATCAAAATTCAGCTATCTATCTTAATCTATGGTCATGACCAACATAAAAGACTAAAGGCCGGCAGAAAAAGGGGAAGTTCACATGAGCGGGAGGAGGATTCCAGCCAGAAGTGGTGCTAGCACGCCATGCAGGGGTATTTTTTGAATCGGGCGACCAGACCGATTTAGTGGACCTGGCCCCGACAATGACGGCTGCTTCCACGAGTTGGACAGATCAGAATCTCAGAAAAAAGGGGCCGACCGACCCAAAGTTTTTAGTCCACATTTCGATAGGTCTGACCACGACCTTTTCAACGATGGGTCGGAAAGGAAGGGGTGTCCTGGTTTTTGACTTAGGCAGTTGGCCAGATTTGTACCTTGGATGAAGGGGCTCGACTGGAAAGTCAAATTGCGGTTTGGTTTTGAAACCTTTTGTCGCGGAGTGATCTACTTATTGCTCCAACATAAATTTCAGTGACGGCTTGCCGAAGCAAGCAGGAAGCGCTGCAGACCAAAGTAGATGTAAACGCCAGGCGTGGATTGACAGCAGCGCGAAGCCTGTTACGACAAGCCACGGTTCCTGTGTTGTGTACAGGAAGTAAAAGTACACTACAAAACTGCAGAAAAAGGTAAGGTTTACACGAGCCGGAGGAGGATTTCGGCCATTAGTGGTGCTAGCACGTCACTGAGAATGAAAGTGTCACCACCATCGCCCTTTCATTGGGTGACGCACGCATCGTCGCTCAAATTCAGGTAACGAGCCAGCGTTGGGCAGTCACAAAATCGTCGTTCTAAATTTGGGTAACGTCGTCGGCGACACCGGGAGGTCCCCGATGACGTTCTTCCAGGGCCACCACGATGACTGCCACGTGGCGTTGAGGCCTCCGGTCATCGTGGTCGCTCAGTAAACAGGGTTGTTAACGTTACTTTTCAATGAAATTGCACACATTTCTTTTAAAACTGCACCAAAAATATTTTTTTGTGGTATTATTTGAATGTTTTTGTAGGAAAAGACTCAAAAAGATTCAAATATGCCAGAAAAATTTTTGGTTCGCTGAAATTTGTGATAGTGTTGGCCCTAGAAGGACGAGAACCCAAAAGTAACGCGTTACTCGTTACTTTTGGGTTCTCGTCCTCCTAGAGCCAACCCTATCACAATTTAACGAACCAAAAAATTTTCTAGAACATTTGAACTCCTGAGAGTCTATTGCAACAGAGACATCAAAATAATACAATAAAAAAATCTTTTTGGCAAATTCTTCAAATTAAATTGTGCAAAAATGCTGAAAAGTAACGTTAACAACCCTGTGAGCCACCACGATGACCGGAGGCCTCAACGCCACGTGGTAGTCACCTTTGAGATGAATTTCGTTCGTACCATTTCATAAGGAGGTGTTCACTAATAAATTTCATAAAATTAAGAAGATTTCTGTGATGAATAATTCATAAAACGGCCTCTACAAATAAATTTCATAAAATGACGAAATGTTATTGTTACTTAACAATGAATTGGTATCAAAACCTTTCGTAAATTCACGATGATTTTTTACAGTGTTTTTGTCAAAAATGTGTCTCAATCTTTAGTTACAGGTCAATGAATGTCCAAAAGCGACATAAAAACAGTCATGATTCTAGTTTTCAAGATTAAGACCGAAAGAAAACATGTTTTTGAAATCCGGCTCCCTTGTCTTCTTCATTTTGACCATAAAAAGATGTTGCAACTTCGTCAGATTTTTTGGGACAACATTTGGATTTGAAATACTGCGCGCAAGGATTAAAACCCACATATGGACCAAATCTAAAATGTTTGCGATAGTTCAAAAAGTGCCACCAGACGCGCAACCAAAGATGGTAAAATGGTAAAAAGGCATGGAGAATCCAATGGTGATGTCCATTTTCATGTCAGGGAGACCAATATGTAAAAAAATAACAGGAAAAGTAGCGATATACACCGGCAACTTTGGCCCGTCCCGTACATTAAGAAATGTGCGAATTTTGCCTATGTTTAACCCTGGCGGGATTTGAACCTGAGTCTGGGGTCAAAATAGATGTTATTTTCGTCATCAGCAACCTCAAAAACATAAGAAACAATGCAAAAACTCGAATTAAAAGAATGTTCAAAATGTACCCCACTGGGATTTGAACCCGGGTCCAAACTTCTCCGATTCACTTGAAACTGGCACCGTTGGTTTTGTCTCGTCGCCCTGATTCCAAAAATATCCCTACATGTCCTGCTAGCTGTATCCGTAGCCGAAATCCTCCTCGACCCCATGTAGGCCATGATGCACCTGCAGCAGCGCCCCCGGTGCTCGGATCGGATTTGCTGCCACCGGGCGGTTCTTAGGATCACCCAAGGAGGCTGCATACCAAATTTGGTCTAGATCGGACCACGGGAAGTCCTCGGACGGACGAACGGACGAACGGACGGACGCACAGCAGGGATCATACTATATGCCCGTCCCTCCGTCATTTTTTTACAAAAAATAAACGGGACGGGCCAAAAACGGCTGAAAAAACATGAAAAATTTCGAAATTTCACTTTACGCTCCCCTTAATTGGAGAAAAAAGCGAGTTACCTCGCGTTAACAATCGCCCGTTTTTGGCCCGTCCCGTGTATTTTTTGTAAAAAAAAAATGACGGAGGGACGGGCATATAGGATGATCCCTGCTGTGCGTCCGTCCGTCCGTTCGTCCGTCCGTCCGAGGACTTCCCGTGGTCCGATCTTGACCAAATTTGGTATGCAGCCTCCCTGGGTGATCCTAAGAACCGCCCGGTGGCAGCAAATCCGATCCTAGCCCCGGGGGCGCTGCTGCAGGTGCATCATGGTCTACATGGGGTCGAGGAGGATTTCGGCAACGGATACAGCTAGCAGGGCATGTAGGGGTATTTTTGGAATCAGGGCGACAAGACAAAACTAAAGGTGCCAGTTTCAAGCGAATCGGAGAAGTTTGGACCCGGGTTCAAATCCCAGTGGGGTATATTTTGAATATTCTTTTTATTCGAGTTTTTGCAATATTTCTTATGTTTTTGAGGGTGCTGATGACGAAAATAACATCTATTTTGACCCCAGACTCAGGGTCAAATCCCGTTGGGGTTAAACATAGGCTAAATTCGCACATCTCTTAATATACGGGACGGGCCAAAGTTGCCGATGGTTATCGCTACTTTTCCTGTTATTGGTACAATAGATGGAGGAATCAGGTGCCTTCCAATCTTGAAAACTTTGAACTGTAGTCAGGACGTAGCAGAGGTAAGAATTGGGGACATAAGTTGGGTCATAGGACCGACGACATATTTATACAAGAGGAAGTTATGCCTGGGGACGAAATGAGTGGGGACGAATTGTCGCAGGGACGTATTCAATGGGGACACGAGAGCCTGTTCCCGTTAGCACGCCCTGCAGGCAAGTTGGCCTGAAATGTACACAGTGATGTATAATGTTTTACGCACGTAAGGTGCACCTTACTGACGTATCTGTGCATGCATAATTATGCCTTCAAAAAGTCATAGCTTTGACACATAATATCACACGTCCAAAGCAGACTGCTAACTGCATTTCATTAGACAATGAGTCCCACCTGGTGGACACAAAATTTAATCATCATCCAGTGTGTGCTTAAAATTGCAAATGGGACCAAAAAGACCCATGTGTACCACACTTCTGTTTTTTACACAGCACAAAAGGTGTATTTAACAATTGTCTGCAACAAAATCAGTTATTTTGTAAATTGTTTATTGAGCGTGGCCACTGTTCAAATAGGTAATTGAAGCACAAAAACATCGGACAGAAAATGAACAAATAAGAACGAAACCCACAGGTCACATGTGTCGTAGAACAGGCTTTTCATTCAGAATTTAAATTAAACTATTTAAATAATGGATGCAAAACAAAAGCTTCAGAATAGACCCATCTCAAAGATCATTTATCAATGTAATATTGGAATAGCATTAAACGTAACTCAGACGTTAAAGAGAGAGTCAGCAATCACACAGCATGACATTACTCGCAACCCTCGTTGCACACACTGCACAGCACATCCACACACAAGTCACTCTCGTAGAAAAAGTATGTAATTTGTGCCACTTGCTTCTTGCAAGATTTCTCATCATGGCGACAAAACGAATCGTAAGCATCTCGACGCAGCAGCACCATCTTCTTGAGTTCCTTGAACCCACAGCGATGGAGTTCCATTGCCAGGTTGGGGCAGCCGTAGGGCTCCGTGGAGGCCGCCACCAGCTGCAGCTCCTCCAGGGTGTCGGCGTGCGCGCGCACCAGGGCCAGCGCCGTGACCAGCGGGTGCACGCCGCAGCGCAGCCACCGCAGCCCCGCGGCAGGCCCCGGGAACGCCAGCACCGGCAGCGGGGCGTCCGGCGGGCAGTGCAGCTCCAGGCGGCGCAGCGACGCCATCCGGACCACCTGCTGCAGCTGCGGCCCCGTCACGTTGCACACGCAGAGGCCCTCGAGCAGCGGCATCGCCAGGGCCGCGTCCAGGTGCTGCTGCTGCGGCGACACCAGCTGCAGGGCCTTCAGGCGGGGCGCGGCCTCCTGGAGGACAAGCAGACTCCAAAGAGGATGGACGTCGCAGTGCAGGTTGAGCAGGGTGCGCACCTGGATGATGAAGATCATTAGTGTCGATAAGCAATGATGAATGGAGGCGCTTTGAAAATTCTCAAGGCGTTATGCTTCATACCTCTTCTAAATTGTTGTCTGACAACAATTTCCATTTGGGTTTCATGTTCGTACTGAAACAAACAGAGCTGACTTCGAGGACCTTTTCCTCTGCACCAATGTTTGGCTTCTGAAACCGAGGCAGAAGGTAAGATTGAGACACGAGCTATGGCAAACCTTCAACGACATAGGGCCCAATGCGTTCAAAGTGACTCGGATTTCACTCACCAGCTGCAGAGGCACCAATCGGAGTTCATACTGTTCGTGGCTCCCCATTCTGTACCAGATGATTTTGCGATCGCTGTCGTTGTCCCAGATCACATTTACCTGCTTGTCACCTACGTCGAAGAACTCTTCACCTTCCTCAACTATCTCAATACTATCGATGGTGCCCGGCCCGGGGGGATCGCCATCTTCATCTTCACAGACCCAGTCGCGGCCCCGCACCACCCTGCTGCCGGCCGTCATCCTGGCCGCCATGTCCTCCACGCTCATCTCGTCCCGGTTCGAGCTGTCCTGCCAGCGCAGTTCTGTGGGAAAGACGAGTGGCGGGCCACTGTTGTCAAAGTACATCGGGTGATGCATGATGCTTGGAGAATCAGGGCAGGGTCTCAGACTCACCTACTTCACGATGTTCTAGCTGCGGTTCAGGTCGCTGCTCTGGTTCCAGTCCTGGGTCCTGCTTCTGCACCCGCAGCCCTCCACTGAAAGCCAGTCCGCACAGCAGCAGCCTGGCCGCCGCGTCCTCCGCGGGCCGCACCTCGCCGGTCCACGCCACTGGCCCCCCAGCAGCGCGCCGCAGAGTCCACGACGACGAGGGGTCCAGCAGGTCTGCCGCCAGCAGGGCCGCCGTCTCGGAGAGTTCTTGTTCTGAAGGGCATGGCAGTTGGAAGTGTGAGAGAGAGAGAGGGAGAGAGAGAGAGAGAGAGAGAGAGAGAGTTTTTTTAGTTTTTAACAGTATTTATTGGGGGGATTCTGATTTCACATTCGGGCCAAGGGGTGGTGTAATTTTTGTCACAAAATGCATGCAGAGTTTCTGTTATTTAAAGTTTTGATGTTTGTGGTGCTGGTTTTACATTTTGTAACTTAGAGAGATTGTTAAATTTTTACATTTGTTGTTTTTTTTTGTTGTTTTTTTTAGCTTTTTTTTTTTTTTTTTCAATTTTTAACAGATGAGGTAATTTACACTTTTACATTGAGAGGAAAAATATACAATTTTCCAATTGTTAAATGAGAGCTTCAGCTGCACGCTTTAGTCTCCTTAGTAAATTAAAATCTTTACATAGTATTTGAGCATCATTTAGTTGAGCAATTAAAGCACTGAAGTCACTGGTATACTTAGATGCAACAGCTTTTGAGTTACATTTCCCTCTACACTCAGAGAGAAAACTGCGGAAATGTTCTTGGCTTAGGTATGATGATTTGTGTTTCATTTCATTCATTAGTTGGTTGACAGCTAGTTGCTCTTTGGCTCTCTTGACTTTTTTTCTCTCAGGCTTGTCTTGTTGATCCACTCCACTGTAAGAGCTTGATGCTGATGAGTCTTCGTCATTTGTGGGGGAATGTACTCTCTTGACTGAAGCGTTGGCACTGCTAGGTTGTGTGTCCGTTACTTGAACATGGGTACTCTGAAGGGCAGCACAGCATCTTCTTGTGATTGTAGCTGACAACCCTGAAAGTCAGTGTCCTCAGTAGAGCTAGTGATTGATACGTCAAGGGGCGACAATTTTGGTTGGTCTTGTTGAGGCAGCGTTTGGTTCAACGCAGGCTGGCTTTCTTGAGTGATGTTGGATGGCATTGAATTGTTCGGATGAAGGATGTCTCCCCAAACTATTGGTGCTTGGTGACTATTTGGCTGCCAGTTGTTGTTGGGTGGACTGGAGAGACTTGTCGTTGGATCAGAGGTTAGGTTGGGCTGGTTCCATGGATTTGTGTTGAGCGGAGTGGGTTTTCTTGTGTTGACGAGTCTTGTTGACACTGAAGGCTGGAAAGCTGGGAAGTTGATGTTGTCGATTTGGAGTTTTTTGCAATTTTCTCTGATGTGACCTGGTGCCAGACAGTGTGCACACACTAAATCATCTCTGTTGACATAGGGTAAGGTTACCAAACATGGATCACTTTTTAAATAATCTTCTCTAGATCGAAATTAAGTATGGGTTGACTACTATTTTTGAATCTAATATTGATGTTTACCTTACTGGTCATATGGCTACCAAAAATGGTACCTCTAACTCGAATACTTTGGAAGTTGTGAGGACAAGAAAATATGGCTATTTTTGCTAAGGTTAGGTTAGGGTGGTCCAATCATGGATCACCCCACCAGCGTAAGGACACAAAGCAAGGTATGCATTCAGTAGTCCCAAAATATCAAAGTAGTCTGTCCAAAGTGCACGATGAAAAATTTTGAAGTCACTGCGGTGATTGCTTGGCCCAGAATCAGGGGTGCAAAAATCACCTTTTTGAACGTCATTTTTCCATCGATTTTCGGGGGCCTGTTTTAGGTGTCTTTCTAAACGCAACCCTGCAGAGTAGAGAGACGCAGTTACAAACTGGTCAGCTTCACATCGAACAGTCAAAGGGTCACTCTAAGCAAGGAAAGACAGAAATTTAGAATCTGGTCACCTGGTCTTTAGTTATAGACCCCAAAACAGAAATGATCCATGTTTGGTACCCCGATCTATGTTCGGCACTTTACCCTAACTCTCGGCTATCGTCACTGATGAAACAACTTTTCATAGACAATCAACTATATCCATAGACCAACTGCTTCATGCCCGGCTGGGATCCATGTGTTACGCCGCTCCCTGATTGGTCCGTACCTTTCACTTCAACGTTTCAAGGTTAAAAACTCGACAAATGTCAATTTTAGTGGGCTGATTGCATTCAGCCTGTTCAAATCTATGTTTCTGGCTCTTGGTTTTTGAGCAATGCTTGTTGGTATAAATACCAAGTGAAACACAAACAATCAGTTGTCGGCACGAGCGGCACGAGCGGTGTTCCTCCGTAAAACTTCCTCTGAGGCTCTAAAATTAAAGTTCATTTGAAAAATCGAGCCGTTTGATGATATTCCTCATTTATGTGAGCTTCTTTTTCACCCACTGAAAGCAGCTGAACATCAACTTAAAAGGTATAAACTGTTCCACAAGTGTGGCATCGACTGCACCAAGCTGCCTCCGCCAGCGAACGCCGCGTTCTGATTGGTGGAGCTCGAGCCTCCTCGACCAATCAGGACGCGGCGTTCGCTGCCGAGGCAGCTTGGTGACCACAGCCGACCAATGACGAGTGAAGTGAAAGGTACCGACCAATCAGGGAGCGGCGTAACACATGGATCCCAGCCTGGGCATGAAGCAGTTGGTCTATGGATATAGTTGATTGTCTATGAACTTTTGTACAAAATACAATATAAAATACAAGTTACAGGATACAAGATGGCGGCAAAAAAAGACTAGATCATACAGTGTCCCCCCAAAATTCTCCTGAGTTATAATACTCCTTTTCCACTATCCACATTCTGAGGCTTTTCTTAAATCTCTCCAGTGTTGGCTCTTCCTTTAATACCTTTGGAATTCTGTTATAAATATCCGTGATGACGCAAATAGGTGACTTTTTATTTATATGCTTTTTATGAATGTCTTTTTTATTTCTTGTGTTGTGCGTATGCACACTTTCGTTTACATTTTCCCTGAGATGGTTTGGATGAAGTCTTGAGCCAAGATGTCATTCCAGAGTTGCCGCTGAGGACGGTGGGGTTGTTTTGATGGTTGTTGTTGAGCTCGGCCAGAGCCTGGCGGGACGCCATGACTGTGACCGTTGCCGGCTGATGGGTTTGTTGTTGTAGATTTATCCTCTAGAAGAGCACCAACTGGCTGTGATTATTATCACATCTTGGTGGTTTCTTCTTTAACTTGCCGTGGGAAAGTATTTGTAGGCGTTTCAACGCCTCCAAACTAGTTAAAAGTCAATAAAACTGGGGAGCACACTGGTTTCGCGCGTCAGCCGTTGGGAGAGAGAGAGAGAGAGAGAGAGAGAGAGAGAGAGAGAGAGAGAGAGAGAGGAGGGGGGGGGGGGGGGAGGAATTCCGTGTACGCACAGCACAATTACAAAGTGCATAATTGTGCTGTGCATTCGAAAAATTCACACGAGTTAAATGTGAATACCAATCGCGTAGCTTCACTTCGAAGCTTCACAGAACAAGGATTTACTGTGCCTGGCTACAGTATTTACTGTACCTGGTACAGGATATTCCGTACCGCACAGCACAATTACAAAGTGCATAATTGTGCTGTGCATTCGAAAAGTTCACAAGAGTTAAGTGAGTAACTCCACCCCAAGGTGGACCGAGATCTGGGATTGGGTCACGGATTCGGTCCAAACTTTGTGGGTTCAATAGGTACCACTAGGACCTATCAACCCTAAAAGGAAAGTTGGCTAGCTCAAATAGAACCTGAGATATTTGCATTTTTCTAAATTTGACTTATTTAGCAGAAAAATGTCGCTTTCTGATTTTTTTTATGGTAAAAGTTGTTTGCTTAGTTCTGCCTTATGTTTCTTCTTTCTAGTCATAAAAAAAGAATAAAAATGGTGGTAGGCCAAGTTTTGTACGTTGCTTGGTTTGGCCTACTTGAGCAATTTTGTCGAATTCATCGAAACTCTCATACCCAAAATACTCCACCTTAGATTTGACCCTGGTACGTCTCATTTCACTTCTTTTACTCTAATAAACAATTGCTATATAGTCCCTAGCACCAACAATTCCATATAAGCCAGAAAATCAAAAACACATTTTTCAATTTTCTACTTTGACCTATTTTTGGCGCTTTTGCCAAGATTGGGGCTTCTACATGAGCTTGGGTGATAGGAAAGATACTCCCTGCCCTCAATTTAGATAGTATCAACACAAACAAAGAAACCCAAACTCAAGGTGCACTAAAAATTTATAATGAAATTGTTTCGAGCAAATTTTACAAGTTTACGAGGGGTGTGAGGAATTTAAATCGGAGGAAAATGTGATGCTTCAGCCAAAAGTGGATTTGTGGTTCATTAGTTAGCTTTCTCTAGTAGGATTGGTGCTCTTTTAACCAAGAGAATGTTCCTCCTTGATAACCAGTGATAAAACCCTCATTTTGTTGTAAATATTTAATGCTTCATCTCATTACTAACTACCATTTCAAATAAACCCGCCATACACACTCACTGCCTTGTCCTAATCATGGTCTACGAATCCTACTGTGTTTTGTCTGCGACTGCAGCGCTCTGGTGTTGAACTCAATAAACTAACTTTGCCTCGGTCACTCTGTGGTAAGCTCTCGAACTGATCACATCTATTTATTTACCCTGTCCTCTGCACTGCAACTTAACTGCTATTACTTGGAGAAATAGACACGGCACACTCATAACTTTACAACAGGTTATGGGCCCAGTTCTATCGCCTCCACCGCGCAAGTGTCTTTGCTAGATTACTCAGTAAATACCTTTCGCGGTTTTTGTTGTGTGTTGTGTTGTTTTGAGGTTAAGGTTCCCCGTGCCGGCACGCTACGCGTGTGTAACTGGTAGACCACGTCTCGTGTTCGCCTGGTTTTTCTGTGTGTAGTGTTCTAGCCAAAAACCAGCAAACATGTCCAACCGTGGCGGACGCGGTGCCAGTACGTCTCGCCAGACCAGCATGCAGGATTCCGAGCGGGTTCTGAGGCACCCACCCGCGAACTGCAATAAGCTGAAGGGCCAGGAGAACTGGCAGTCGTGGAAACTGCTAATGCTGATGTTCCTCGAGTCCATCCAACTCGACGGCTACTTAACCACCCGGACGACGGACCTGGCCCTCCGGGACACCACCTCGGAGGCGGCGCGTGAGGACGCACATGTGCGCCTCT